GTCGGGCGGAAAACACCGGTAACAGTCACCCTCATCACTAATAGTCACAGTATACATGGCAGCAAGAATAGCATCAAAGTCAAGGTCAAAGACAGCTACACCCGCCCTAGACAGCTCACCCCAGCGGGGGATCTCAGTGGCCTCAGGGAACTGGTGACGCCAAGCGTCCGTCAGGCGGCCAAAGCAGCGCTGGGTGGAGTGCGCACCCCCGCACTGCTCACCCGCGCGGTCGCCGGTGCGGAGGACGTAGGTGCACGGGCCAGTACCCCCACCCCTTTGGCGTGCAGTGTACCACTCACGGAGCTGCTGAGGGGAGGGGATGTCACGAGTGCGCTGCTGCTGCTGCTGCTGCTGCTGGCGCTGACCACCACCGGAGCCGCCCCTCTGTGCAGCGCCACCCCGACCAGCTCCACCTCCTCCGCCGCCTCCTCCTCCACCGCCGCCACCTCCGCTCCCACCGCCACCGCCACCGCCGCCTCCGCCTTCACTGCCGCCACCGACACCTCCGCCCCCGCCACCACTCCCACCGCCACCCCCACCCCCTCCACCGCCTCCACCGCCGCCTCCACCGCCCCCGCTAGCTCCTCCAGTGCCCCTGCCCCCCTTGCCCTTGCCAGGGCGACGTCTCCCGCTAGGGGTAGACGCCGCACCGACCGACTCAAGCCCAACGAGGTCGGCCGCAGCAGCAGAGGCAACAGAGGGCAAAAGGGGGGAGGGGGAACACCCCTCAAAGATGGGGGTGCGAGGGTCACCACGAGAGGCTCCTACAGCGACTATGCTGTTCTCTGCTGCTAGGAGGGACTTCTCGAGGAGGTCAACGGTGAGAGTGGTGGGGCAAACGGAGAGGAAGTGGTCCCTGACTACGCGAAGGGAGTCAGGGAGCCGGGTGACTATGTAGTAGAGGGTGATGTACATGGGGGGGGGGGTTCTTGGCGCAGAACTCAGCAGGAAGCGCAGCGCGGTAGCGAGTGTCACTAGTGCGGAGGTGCGTAATGAGGTCAGCGACTGTGGGAAAGGCAGCAAGGTCAGGGAAGAGGTACGGTAGCATGAGGCTGCTCAGTGCAGCAGTGGCAGGGGAGGAGTAGCGCGCAACTACAGCGTCGTACAAGGTCTGAGCACTCTTGTACTGGCTAAAGTGCGCACGCTCAGAGGTAGGCAGGTGGCGACGCACAGCAAGACGTGCAGCAGCATCGCGAGTGGCCCACTGTGAGCGAACAGTGGCGTCGGCATCAGCAGCAGGGGCAGGAGAGGCACCAGAGGTGAGGTCAAAGAGGGAGAGACCGTCTGCCCTATCGCACTGTAGGAAAAGCTGCAGGTCATCTACCCAGACGTCAAAGTCAATGGCCCGACCCTCAGCGTCAAAGGCGAGGACACTAGGGGTAGCCATGACAGCAGTAGACTAGCAGCGCGAACAGTAGGGTGAGGGCAGTGCAGGGACAGAGGCGCTGCACTTACCGGACAGGGCGACTCGGGTGGCTCAGCGGCTCGGCGGCTCGGCAACTCGGCGGCTCGGGCGGCTCGGGCGGCTCGGGCGGCTCGGCGGTGCGGCGGCTCGGCAGCAAGCGCGGCTCGGCGACACGGCGGCTCGGGCGGCTCGGGCGGTACGGCGGCTCGGGCGGTACGGCGGCTCGGCGGTACGGGCGGCTCAGGTGGTGCGGCGAGGCCGTGTGGGGAGCGGCGGCGGGGCCGAGTGGAGCGGCGTCGGCGGGTGCAGTCAGCTGCGGCAGCAGCCGCGGCCCCGAGGGAGGTGGTGGCGGCTGCTGCTGGCGACGGCTGCGGCTGCTGCTGCAGGGACGGCGGCAGCCGCTGCGGTAGGGGCGGCGACAGTGGGCCGGAGAGGGCGGTGCGAGGGGCCGCGGAGGGCGGCGACGGGCCGTAGGGGGGGGGGGGGGGGGGGGCGTGAGGGGCCGCGGGAGAGGCCGTAAGGGGCGTAAGGGGCCGCGCGAGGGGCTGGAAGGGACGGCGCGAGGGGCCGCGACGCGAGGAGCCGCGGAGGGCGACGACGGGCCGTGAAGGGGCGGCGCGAGGGGGCCGCGGAGGGCGGCGACGGGCCGTGAAGGGGCGGCGCGAGGGGCCGCGGAGGGCGGCGACGGGCCGTAGGGGGGGGGGCCGTGAGGGGCCGCGGGAGGGGCCGTAAGGGACGGCGCGAGGGGCCGTAAGGGGCCGTAAGGGGCCGCTGAGGGCGGTGCGAGGGGCCGACGGGCGGCGCGAGGGCCGTAAGTGGCCGTAAGGGGCCGCGCGAGGGGCCGTAAGGGGCCGCAAGGGGCCGACGGGCGGCACGAGGGGCCGTAAGGGGCCGTAAGGGGCCGCGCTAGGGGCCGTAAGGGACGGCGCGAGGGGCCGTAAGGGGCCGCTAAGGGCGATGCGAGGGGCCGTGAGGGGTCGTGAGAGGGCGCGACTGTGGGAGCGAAGCGCGCTCCGGGCAGGAAAAAAAATTTCGTGGTGGGCCCTAGGAAGCGTTCCCACTAGGGAACCTGCTCGATACCATGAGAAGAAACGAGGAATGGATGAACTATGAATGAATTGGGTACAAGTACTAACCCTAATTGGGTTGTACCCCTTATGGGCTACCCCACTATAGCCTACACAATATGCAAGAGCTATAATGTTCTGACACACTTCACCCCCCGTGTCGAAGTAGGTGGTATGTAGGAGAACATGTACACACATTGTATGCCTAGACTTTGTAGGTACAGTGTAGGCTGGTTGTCAATGTGCTGTAGGTACATTGTCCAGGCGAGGACATTGTTTGGGATGCTCTGGATCTGAGAGGCGGTCTCGCCAGAAATCGAGGCGCCTTTACCGCCGCCGCCGCCGCCCCTGCCTTTGGCCATCTGAACGTTGACGCTGGCACGATATGCCGCGATTCGGACAAAACGTCCAAATGTGGTTCTTGACGGTCGGACGGTCGAAATCAGGGTTGCCATTTCGGGAGGTTGAGAGAAAAATCACTTGAGTTGCAGCTCAACACAAGATGTTCTGAGAGAACCAGATGGAATGGAAGAACTGAGCCTAGAGGAAGCCTTTATAAGGAAGCCTTTATAAGGAAGCCTTTATAAGGCGTCGTGAATCGTGATGCGAAAACGAATTCCCTGCAGGACGAGAAGCCACTCCGAAGTCGAGTGGCGGTGACGCGCAGCCTGAAGCCAAGAAAAATGTCAAGTGCCAATTGAAAGGCGACTCGCTCAACGGATACTATGCTCGCACGCGGCAGATTCTAAAATGCAATGCTGGGTACTGATGCTAAGCATCGTACATGCACTCTACTGTGCGGCATGCCTGATATCGCGTGAACAAGTCGTGCTCTTGGCGTGAGAGTGTTTCCGATCGGAATTTGCAGAAACGGTTTTTCCGCTCGATGCGTACTAAGTACTACGCGCCGCAGATGCCGTCTCCTCCGGCATGCGGAAAATGCTGCAGGTTTCACACGCACTCTTCCTTACTAATTGATGTGATGCAACAGCATGGAAAATGAGGGTGTATGAAACTTGCATACACCTGCTGTCAGTAAATATTCAGTGATAGACGACTTGTGTGTCATAAAGCGGAACCTCGAATAAAAAATTGTTACGTGCACTTTCCCATGCATCACGATATGACCATAATTACAACATCTGTCACACATGTCATTCACTGTACACAATATCTACACCGCCAAGAAAGCACTGCGTTATGACGAGCATGCTCTTGGAATTACGCGGCTTCCAACAGGCTCAGCCGGACGTTGTTCCTCGTATTTGCTGTTCGTCCTACTTGCCGTTCGCCGCAGCCTGGCTCTGAGCCTCCGACGCGAACGACCCTTTCTCGACGCCGCCAAAGGTCGTCGCCGTGAAGCTCTGCAGAGTCGCCGCGTTCTGCGACGTCACCTTCGACGGCGCGGCCGCCGCCCTCTGCGCCGCAGCCGCCGGTGAGCCCTTCCCCGCTGCGCCCTGGCGCGCAGCGAGGCTCTGGATTTGAACAGCAGACTGCTGGGAGAGTCCCCCGCTCTTCCCGCCGCACCGCCGCCCTTGCCACCGCCGCCGCCACCCTTGCCTCCGCCTCCGCCTCCTCCACCACGCCCCTTGCAGACCGGAGTGAGGCGGTAGCTGGAGACCGGTGCCGGAATCCGAAGAATGGCCGCCATGGCAGGTCCAAGAGGCAAGCTGGAGAACGAAGAAAGGTTTCACCTAAGCCTAAAATCAAATGTCCGAGCTGTCTAACTGAAATTGGAGTTCGGTGCCCTTTTCAATGCATGCGAGAGCAGCAAAAGCTGCTCCACATGCAATGTGGTGCGGGGAGGGGGGAAAGTGAAAGGGGGAAGATGGGGGAACCTTGGACGAGGACGAGGGGGAGGGAGTACGTGGGTACATGGGATTTGGAAGAGGCGAAGAGGATTACACGGGATGATGCGAGGATGGGGAGCGGCGAACACCGATTGGCTGCAATAACCGATTTCCGCGTCGGCGCAGAATATCCTAGAATCAGTCGAGCGACTTTTCGTGACTTCAGGTCGCCGTGGCAGTTTTGCTGGATATTTGCTGAAAATCGATGACAGGTGCACAGTGATTTGGCTTGCTGACGTCGGGGTGGAATTCCAGCCAATCGAGTTCCGTCCTCTATCACCTCCAGGTTGGAAGCCCCGACCAATTAGGAGTTGAAAGCAAGCCTGGGGTGTATTATTTTCAATTCAAGAATGTGCAATATCCCTAACAAATATTTTCCAGGTCATACAAGTATTGTCCAAGCAGAGAAGAAAGTACATTTACATTACCCCATTTTGTGATAGCGAGATTTCATACTTCAGTTGATTGTCAAGTGATTTATAGGAAAGCGGAAACACTAAACCCAACCTTAACACTAGGAGAACGAAAACTGTTGTCCCAACGCAAGTCATTTTTGCCCAAAACACCCATTTTTGTAACACAATTCTGCAACGACGGCTGTCTACAAACTCGTGAAGGCGACAAACGCGTACAATTTAGTCCTTTAATCTCCTTCTCCAATCTCACCTCTTGTTTCCCCTATTCCCCCTGCCCCGCGTTACTCGCGGCCGTGCTCTGAACCTGCGACGCAGGCGAACCCTTCTCCACGCCTCCGCTCGTCTTCGCAGTAAAGCTCTGCAGAGCCGCGGCGTCTCCCCCCGTCACCTTAGACGGCGCAGCCGCCGCTCTCTGCGCCGCAGCTGCGGCGGAACCCTTAGCCACCGTTCCGCCACCCATCTTCGCGGAAGAGCTCTGGATCTGAGACGCCGTCTTGCCGGAAATCGGGGCGCCCTTACCCCCGCCGCCACCGCCCGTTTTAGCGCCGCTGCTGGCGCCCTTGCCTCCGCCTCCGGTCTTTCCACCGCCGCCCCCTCCGCCTTTACCGCCGCCGCCCTTCCCTCCGCCTCCGCCGCCTTTAGCCATCTGAACCGTCAGGCAGCCGTGACAGGCGGCGATTTGAATGACGGTAGCCATTTTGGTAGGTCGAAAGCGAGAGTGATTCAGTTGCGGAACAACATATAACGGTCTGAGAGCATCAGAAAGAAACAGACGTATTACACGAAAAAATGAGGTAATTTTTAGATCAGATCAAGTATGCTCGACGCCATTCTTCCGCAGGAAGAGAAGTCACTGGTGTTGCGGTTTCCACCAATCGCGTGAAGTCTAATGTCGCGTGAAGGCGACTCGCTCAGATAATGTGCTCGAAGCGCGGAATATCGCGTGAGCAAGGCGTGCCCTTGGCGTGAACGCCGTTTGCAATTCACAGTGGGTAAGGCTGTACGCGCCGCGCATCATGCGGTAGTATCGGCGGTTATTTCATGCATGATGTGGTACGCGCCGCGCATCCACTCCATGGTGTGACATGCGGTTATCTCATGGATGATGCTGGCTATTGAGGCGCCTCAAATGGCGCCGCGCATGCACTATCTACACCGGGCAGGTGGTTATTTCCTGCATGATGTTGTTTCAGTACGCGGTACCGTGAAGCAGTCAGCCCCCGCGTAGGATGTTCCGGTACTAGCTGGTGCTATAACACGTATAGAGGATATGACCAGCATGTAGATCTGTACACGTTAAACCATGTTCTGCCTAGCATGGTACTTGTAAAACGTGCAGCCATTTGAAAGTATTTTTACAAAGCCCAATTAAACAACAAAAAACTATCGTATATACAGCGAAAAGAATGAGCTTACCGTAAAACAGCAGTCTAGATCCATTATTTTCCACAGAAACGGTACATGCTCTTATAGAGCTTGTTCACCTGCTAAGTAAACTGAATCAGCTCATAAACTTCTAGCATACTCAAACATAAGGTTTCCTTTCCTATAAAACGTCTAGGGCAAATGACTTGAAAGCACGTAATCGTGGAATATCACCACGGAGTGGTCAATCGTTATGCTCACTTGCCAATGCATGAAAAACACGTAGTATTTACATATCTTCAAGCCGCTGTACACACAAAATAACTGCAATCTTCACAGTTTCTTGTACTCCGCCGCCAAACAGAGGTCTATGTCGAGCACTCTTGGAAGTGCACGCTTCCAACGCGCTTCTCTCTACTTGCCGTTCTCCCAAGCCTGCCTTTGCACCTGCGACATGAACAACCATGCATCCGCATCTTCTTCGCAATACGTCATTATGAAGCTCTGCAGAGTCCGCGCGTTCTCCGAAGTCAGATTCCACGGCGCATCCGCCGCTCTCTGCGCCGCAGCTGCCGGCGAGCCCTTTCCAACTGCGCCCAGGCGCGCAGCGAATCTCTGGATTTCAACAGCGGTTTCCTGGCAAACTCCGCTATCGAAGCTGACCCTGTCTCCGCTTCCACTGTAATAACTCTTGCAGACCGGGGTGAGACGATAGCCTGAGACGGGAGCTGGAATTCGAAGAAAGGCGGCTGCCATGGCAGGTCCGAAGCGGAGATGACTGCAGAAGTAGATAAAGGCCTTGGACTAAGTGTTCGAGTGCTCGCTTTCAGCCTCAGCGCGTGGTTGAAAAAATAGCGCCCGACGCCTTTTTCAATGCAGGGGCGAGGAGCAAACATGACTGAACTTGGCGGGGCGGGGGAGGGGGAGGGGAGGCATGGAAGAGCAGGGGCAAGGCGGAGGAAGAATGGGAAGGTAAGGGGAGGGAAGCGGGCAAGGGGAGAAATCTGGGGACAGCTGGGAGAGCCCTTGGGGGGTGATGAACAAAGGCGAGATTTCAAAAGGCGAGGGAGAATGGAGGCGAATCTGACGGTTGCATTTCCATTTTCGCAACTGCCCAGACCAGAACATCCTAGAAGCAGTCAATCGAGTCGGTTCGGGTGATTTGGGAGAATCCGCCGTGGCAATGTTGCTGAATGCTTCAAGAATGTCGACGGTAGGATGTGATTTGGTTACCCGAGGTCAGAGTTGTGGTTTCGACCAATGGAGTACCGCATGCGGTTGAGGCCCCACCCAATCACGAGAGCTGCATGTGCGAACGTGGAAATCAAATGCGCGACTCGAGGTGTGGCAGGGGGCTCCTTATACTCCTTATCAGCATATTACGCTCACAGCATCACCACCTGAAAATTGATTTTGATTAATCCGTCTTGGTACATACAATTACAATATGTCCTGTCCAACACACCTCAGCCTCAACTAAACCCACTCTTTTCAGAGCAACGAACTAATTTCCCTGGTTATGAGCGGCCATTGACTGAACCTGCGCAGCAGGGGAGCCCTTCGCCACTCCGCCACTGGTCTTTGCCGTGAAGCCCTGGAGAGCAGCAGCATCGCACCCTGTCACCTTGGACGGGGCAGCAGCTGCCCTCTGCGCTGCTGCAGCACCAGACCCCTTGGCGACTCCACCACCTCCCATGCGGGCGGCGGTGCTCTGGATGTGAGCAGCAGTTGCGTGAGAGATGCCTCCGCCATGGCTTCCCCCGCCATGGCTACCGCCACCGTGACTTCCCCCGCCGTGGCTTCCCCCACCATGGCTTCCGCCTCCGCCACTCTTTCCTCCGCCTCCGCCGTGACCGCCTCCGCCTCCCTTTCCTCCACCTCCGCCTCCTCCACCGCCTCCCTTAGTCATGTTGCTTCAGTGTTGGTCGAAAAGGCTGCGATTAGGTTGTGAAAATGGCTGCCAGATAGAAGGATGCCAGTCAGAGAGCGGCTGAGTTTCCGTGACTGCGTCGTCTGTGTCTCGTTCTGACGAGCTCATGTCCAAGCGACGGTCTTTCTAAAGTAGTAGGCTCCGCGCCCACTAACTGTGTCCCCCACACTGGAAGGCGCTCCAATCGCCATTCAGGCGTCAACATCGTCCATGATCAAAATCGAGGCGCGGACAGAACCATAGAAATTCCATTTCTCCTCCGCGACGCGCGCAAGGTACATGCAGTCGCGTTAGGTCCCTCGAAAGTCACGCACGTGGTACATTAAGTTGCATGCGATTGTGACTATCTTGCCTCAGCTCTGTCCGCGACAAATGATATAGCGACAGTAACGCGAAAACATACTCTGTCGTTTATCGCTGTCGCCATGGAATCTTCAAACGCGTACGACGTCTTCCGAAGTTGCATGTGATACTACTCATAGATCGGCTGTTGCATGGCATGGTGATGCGAAAAAAACATAGGAGAGCAGGGAGGGAGGGACAAGGTCAGTCACATGACAAGCAGGAGGCTTGGTTCAATTCGCACGGGGAATGACGGAATTGAGAAATGACGGGATTGAGAAATGGCGGATCGATAAATTGACGGATTTCAAGAGCTATTGCCTCTCAGACAGACTATCGAGGGCGTGAACAGGCCGTGTAGGAGACAGGGCGGATGGGATGGGAAAGAGGGAGGGAATAGAGGGGGAGAAGCGGGGGAGGTGATCGAACGGTTTCAATCAGCTCAACTTTCCAACTGACGGAATGGATCGAAAGCTGTGGTGGTATGTCAGAAGGAGGTGTCTCCGAGAAGCCGTTTGATTGGTTGCGGAGCTGAAAGCCCCGACACAATGTCCCGTCCTTTGCCTGTAGTGTCACGCGGTACAACGTACAGAGCAGCTTATAAATGCATTTCCTTTTTGTAACAATGAGAAGGAACCCTCCGCGACACCTCCGTACACGCATTCTAGCCACCCGCAATTAGGTGTACCAGCTCATATTGAGGACCAGCGGTATTGTCAGGTGATCGGCGGTGATCTCACCAACCAACTTTCGAAGTTCAGTATACAGGACACATGTGCTGCTGAGCGCTCTTCAACCACATCCATCAGTGAGATGGTTTATTCTTAAGGGTGTGTCAGATCCGAAATCGGCTTAATCCGACTGACCGGTTTTAGCGAAAGTAACACGTTAACGACAGTCGCAAATATTTTCGACAATCTCGCATCATCCGGCCACTTCTCGTAATTTTGATGGCCGTTTCAAAAAGTCGACATCAATCCGACATGTAGTCGACTCGAATTCGGCCAAGATGTCAACTTGGCAATGCAGCAGTAATCCTGCGACGTAACAAATTTACGACAGCCAATTGTCATCGATACTTGTATCGCTACGAAATCTGCGACCTCGTCGCAGCAATCCGGCCAACAAATCTGACACATTTGATAAGCGGCCAGCAAATCAGCCACCAAACGTGTCAGATTTGCAAACACAGCCGTATTTTGTTGACCAAAATTCGACCAATGCGTCGACGTTCGCGAAAACAATTTGACGACCAAATAACCGGCCAAAACAGGTTTTGAAGGATCTGACATGCTCCTGTGTCGCTAGAAGCAGCATGCTGCAGCCGCTGTATACCAGAGAGTCCAGCGTCATGATCAGTGAGCGCCACTCGCGGTCCTTTTAATTTTCATTGAGTGAATTTAGCGCGTTAGCTTCATACAAGAATTAGTCAATATGCCGAAGAAGAATCCCAAGTCGAAACGTGCGGCCGCGAAATCCGCCGCGCAACGCGCGGAAGATGACGAGCCGCCGCCGCTATCCATCGCGACGGTCGCTCGCGCCGCGTCCGAAGCCGTTGCGGCAGACCTAATGTCTGCCGCGGAATCCATGTCCGCCGATCGACTGCGCGCCAATGGCGTAATTTCCGCCCTCCCTGCAATCTCCGTCTCCGGCGGCGCCGCCGCGGTTTCCGCCGCAAATGACGGCGCCGGCGTCGCCATTGCCGTCGGCGGCCGGTCCAGAAGCCTGTCCGTCTCCCCTGCCGGCAGTCCGTCAGCCGCCACTGCCGCCGCAACAGCCGCCGCGGGAACCGGCTTCACAGCTAAAAGCAACCTTGCAGCCAAGGCGAGCTTAACTCCTAGCCCCGGTAGCGCCAGCGGCGGCGGCGGAGGCGGCGGGAGTGGCGGGGGGACGGGGAGGAAGCTCCGTGTGGGGCGGCAGCGATCGTGGTTGCCACGTGGCAGCCCGTCAGCGGCGCAAGCAGCATCCTCCAGCTCACCTTTCACATCAGGTGAGGACCGTAGTACCCTATATATACTTGAGATTATGTGCTTGGCCCTCTCAAGAGCGACTTAGGTGTAGTACCTATGTACTTGCCTTGGCGCCTTTCAGGGATAAGAACACCGAGCCTTGCCTTACGGAGACTGTTCGAGCAGGTCGCGGATTTCGTTGTTATTCCTCCCCTGCCGGTGCCATTGGTCTTCAAGCATTCGTCCCCCTGACTCCCCACTTCCCCCCTTCCTTCCCTCCCCCCTTCCTCTCCCACCCACTCTCCCCAGCCCCCTGGTCAATGTGTCGATTCCGCCTCGCCACTCTCCTCGAAATCGCCTTCTCCTTCCTCCTCCTCTTCGTTACCCTCCTGCTGCATCGCAATGGCTGCCTCTCCCCCTCCTCCCCCGCCTTCCCCATCTGCTGGCGCAACCTAGGCGTCTCGCTCCCCCCATCCCTCCGCCAATCCCTCCCCCCATCTGTCGTGCAAGGGAAGAGCCGGGGGGGAGTGACAGGCGGGGGGGAAGGAATGGGGGGGAGAAGAGAGCGTGGGGGAATGCAGGGGGTGGCGGAAGGGGTTGGGGGGAGGGGGGAGAGAGGGGGAAGTGTAAATGTATTGAGAGGGGAAGGGGACACGTCATTACTACGAGTGCTGATGCCAGGCAATGGGGGAGCCAGTGGGGGAAGCAGGGGGGAAGGGGGAAGGGGAACGGTTGGCCTGGGGGAAGCAGAGTCGGCTGCAGCTGCTGCGTTGATGGGGCGAGGGGGGGAGGAGGGGAGAGGGAGTGCGGAAGGGGAAAGCAACGGCGGGGGAAGTGATGGGAGGGATGGCGGGGAAGGGGAAGGAGCGAAATTTCAGCCATTAGCAGAAGGGGAAGGTCCGACTACTAGGAACGAGCCAGGGGGAGGGGGAAGGGGAGGAGGGGGAGAGGGAGGCGAGGGGGAAAGGGGAGGTGAGGGGGAAGGGGAGGCGCAGCATGGGGGGAGGAAGGGGGGAGACGAGTGGGTGCTGCGGCCTGATGAGAAGTTCATGTGGTTCGCCAGTCATGGCGGATTTGGTAACCAGGTGGGCGAAATATCCAGGCCTTTTGAGTTACCAGGTTTGCAAAACTTCAGAACTACCAGGTTTGCTCGCCATGTCTCCCTTATAAAGTGATTCAACTTGTGTAAGGCCTTCAATTAGCAGGTCTCCTAAATCGAACGCTCATCATCCCGCCCAAGCTCTCGCACTTTGCCAAGTCGTCTGGCATCGGCCCCTGCGACCTCTTTCCGTCCTCTTTCCCCCCGTTCCACTTCTTTCAGGTGATTCAACTTGTGTGGGGCCTTCGCCTAGCGGGTCTCCTGAACAGAACGCTCATCATCCCCCCCAAGCTCTCGCACTTTGCCAAGTCGTCTGGCATTGGTCGGTGCGACCGCAACCCCACCAAGCCGGACCGGACGCGGCATGACGCGTGGGGGCACTACTCTGACATGATGCGCGGGGGGAAGGTGAGAAAAGGGAGAGGAGGGTGTGTGTGTGTGCATAGGTGAGGGAAAGCTGAGTTTGGATTCAACCGCACCAAGCGGGATAGGACGCGGCACGACACGTGGGGGCACTACTCTGACATGATGCGCGGGGGGAAGGTGAGCGGGGGAGGGGGAAGGTGAGAGGGGGAGGGGGAAGGTGAGAGGGGGAGGGGGAAGGGTGGGAATAAGAGAGGGTGTGTGCTGGTTTTAGATTGAACCCCCCACCAAGCCGGATCGGAGGCGGCATGATGCATGGGAGCACTACTCTGACATGATGCGAGGGGGGAAGGTGAGCAAGAGGGGACCGAGGCATGGGCTCTGAAGCATGGGTGAAGGCAGCACTTACCATTTCCCCCGTGTTCCCATCCCATTTGCAAACATCCCCAGAGCTACGTACCGAACCATGCCCGATGTTCTCGCTCACCCTCTCCCACCTTCTCCCACCTTCTCCCACCCTCTCCCACCCTCTCCCACCCTCTCCCACCCTCTCTCCCTGAACCACACACACACAGGGCTATGTGTCCATGGCTGATGTGCTCGATTTCAAGACTCTGCCGCCCGCTTTCATCCGCACCATCGATCTGCGGCACTTTGCCGCCCGGTTCTGCCACTGTGACGTGGCGCCTGCCTGCTACGGTGGCGCGTGTCGGCAGCTGACTCACGGGCGGCACCACGACCCCCACTCACGTAAGGTGCTCATTGCTCCTCTCTGCTCCTCATGCATCTTCTCTGCTTGCTGCTCTTTTCTCGCTGCTCCCTGCCACTTGCCCTAGCCCTTGCTCTTTGCTCACTGCAAGGTACGTGTCGGCAGCAGCTGACTCACAGGCGGCACCACGACCCCCACTCACATAAGGTGCTCATTGCTCCTCATGGCTCCTCCCTTTCCTCTGCTCCTCTGCTCCTCTCTCCTCTTTCCTCTCTGCTCTCTGCTCTCTGCTAACCGCTCCTTGCGCATTTCTCACTGCATTGCTGCTCACTGCTCTCCCGGCAACATTCTCAAAAGTGACACACACACACTGTCACTCACTCCCTCTTCCTCTTCCACAGGACGACACGTGCATGTGAGAGTGTGAAGAGGAATCTGTTTTTTGAGAATTCTAAAAAAACGGACGACAAGTGCATGTGAGAGTGTGAAACTCTTGAGACAAACCCAAAATTCACTCACTCACTCTCACGCACACTGTCACTCACTCTCTCCCCTCCCCTCCGTCCCCGCAGAACGACAAGCGCATGTAGGAATGCGGGGCTCAGCTAAGTGGACAGAGGAACAAATGAATTTGCAAGCGAGAAATTTCAACTCTTTTATTTCTTCTTCTTTTTTCCTTCCTCCTCCTGTTCCACCCACCCACTCTTCAGGATGACAAGTGCATGTGGGAGTGCGGGGCAAAGCTAGGGGCGCAGGGAGGGGCAAGTAAGAAATGGAGGAAGGAGGGGGTGTTGTATCCGATTGACAACACGTGCAAGGACACTCTCTGGACCGTTGGCAATTATGCAAGGTATGTGCACGGTGCAGTGCAGTGGAATGCAGTGCAGTGCGGTGGAATGCAATGCAATGCAAAGTTGGGGGCTCAAGGGGGGATGAGTGAAAAGTGGAGGCAGCAAGGGGTGCTGTTTCCGATCAACAGCACGTGCAAGGACACTCTCTGGACCATTGGCAATTATGCAAGGTATGTGCATGGTGCAGTGCGGTGCAGTGTGGTGCAGTGCAAACTTGCAAAGCTAGGGGCGCATCAGGAAGCGAGTACGAGGGGGTGGTGTATTCCATTGGCAACACGTGCAAGGACACTCCCTGGACGATCAGCAATTATGCAAGGTAAGTCCATCCATGGTGCAGTGCGGTGGACTGTGGTGTGATGAGGAGTATGAGTATCACATTTTTGCAAGGACCTAGAGGCAACAGTGGGAGAGAGAAAGCCAGCTGTACTGACTTTTTTTTTCGCACATCAACTTGAAACAAACTGTGCTCTTTCTCCCGCCCATGCCCCTGCCGTCCATCTCCTCCCTCCCTCTTCCCCCTCCCTTCCTCCCTCCCTCCCTCCCCACATGCATCAAGTCTCAAGGACCTGGTAGCAGCAGTGGGGGAGAAAGAACCAGGAGTGCCGGCCTTCGCCCACATCAACGTGAAGCACAACCGCAACGAGCCCGTGCCTCTCAATGTCTTCTCCACTCTGGGGGACTCGTCGCCTGCCAAGGACAGCAAGGTGCGTGCTGTGGGAGGAAGGGGGGGAGAGAATCTAATGCTGTCATGCATGTGGTGGTAAGAACACAGAAGCGTGAAGCACAACCGCAACGAGCCCGTGCCTCTCAACATCTTTGCCACTCTGGGGGATGCCTCGCCTGCCAAGGACAGCAAGGTGGGTGCTGTGCTGAAGAGAGGGAAATAGTGCGCTCTCTGTGCCTCACTGCACCTCGCCTCACCTCACAACCGCTATGAGCCCGTGCCGCTCAACATCTTCTCCACTCTGGGGGACTCGTCCCCTGCCAAGGACAGCAAGGTGGGTGCTCATCCACAAGTTCACAAGTCCACAAGTTCACAAGTCCACAAGTTCACAAGTCCACAAGTTCACAAGTCCACAAGTTCACAAGTCCACAAGTTCACAAGTCCACAAGTTCACAAGTCCACAAGTTCACAAGCTCATCCGCAAGTTCACAAGTCCGCCATTTTTCATGGAGTTTGTTTCGTTGTCCTAATACAACACGAGTTGATGGAAGTAAGGCCTTCGCAGCCCACCTGTCCTCTTTTGACAGCTACAGCAAGGTGGGCGCTCCTCCACAAGTTATATGCGCATTATAACTTAGGTGGGTGACAGTTTGCACATTATATGCGGTTCGCACAGAATGCGTTGAGGCGCCAACGAGCTAGCCACTTCCGTTCTTCTTTCTCTACGTCATTGCATCTCTTTGCTCTTCTCATATTCGCTCCTCCCTTTCCTCCACTCACATGCCCTCCTCTCCTGTATGATGTTTTTCCCTCATCTTTTCTTCTTCTTCCGTCCCCTGTGTCCCATCAGGTGTTGGCCTTCCCATCGCTCTTCCATCCTCGCATAGCAGACATAAACCTGGAGTGGGACGACCGTGTGCAAGCGATCAGAGAGGTGGGTTGAGAGCGGTGGGTTGGGTAGTAAGTGAGTTAAGTGGGGTGATAAACGAGAGTACAACAACCTTTAGTGGGACGATCGTGTGCAAGGAATCAGAGAGGTGGGTGGGGGTGACACGAGAGGTGACACGAGAGGTGAGAAAAATGCAACACCAAGAGGGCGCTGTCAACCTTGCCTTGGTTGGGACCCGTGTTGATTCCCTCCAACTCCAACCTATGCTTGCAGGCACCCGTGTCAATGCCCTTTGCCCCACCTATAATGGATCTGGCTCGTGACTTCATATGCAGCAGCATAGGCCGCCTCTGACACACTCTACGCTATCTCCACTTCACTTCCCATCTTCCCTTCCCTTGGTGCCAGGCCCCTGTGTCAATGCCCTTCACGCCCCCCATAATGGATCTGGCTCGGGATTTCATATACAACAGCATAGGCAGACCCTTCGGCTGCATGCAAGTGCGGGGCACGGATGGCATGTTCGTCAAGGCGCTAAAAAACACTCTCAAGTAAGTGTTTTGTTGCGATTCTTTGTTCTGTGAGATTTTGAAGAAGGATAGAGTGTGGCAGAGGGGGGAACAAGTTACTTTCTTAGCTCGTCCTCATGTAAGCACCAGTGTTACGCTTAAGGATTTCTTTCTCCCACCCCATCCCCTCTCCTCTCACCAGGGACGCGGAAGCGACGCTAAAATAGATGCTTAAGCGCAACCCGCATGCCCACGCCCCTCCCCTCAAGTTCCCGCTCTTCCTTATGGCCGACATTCCCAAGGCCTTGTGGAAAGGAACCTTCCTGGAGCACCTTTGAGGCGCCTCAAAACAGGGCTCAGGGAAGCGAACCTTCCGGAGCACCTTGACACGTTGAAATTCGGTCCTTTTCCCCACTCGTGCTTGCTTAAGTATCACTGACACTGTCGACCTTCTCTCCTTGTGCCCCACCCGTCCCCTCTCCATTCACCAGGGATGCGGAGGCGACGCTAAAAGAGATGCTTAAGCGCAACCCGAAAGCCCACGCCCCTCCCCTCAAGTTCCCGCTCTTCCTGATGACCGACATTCCCAAGGCCTCGTGGAAAGGAACCTTCCTCGAGCACCTCGGGGAATTTCCTGTTGAGCTTTTCACTGTAGACGGGATTATGGATAGGGTAAATGCCGCAGCGCGGACGATTCTAACAGAGGAGATTGGGCTGTATGCTAACAGGGGACAGTCGTACCTGACTGGTAACGGGGTAGCTAATATGGGGGATGGAACTCATGCTGGTGGTGGTGGTGGTGGGGGGGGGGGGGAAGGAGGCATGCAGATTGGACCCCAGACTCCTGTGAGACAAAGAAGGCTCAGACTGGCAGCGGCCGAGAAAAGGGAAGTTGAGAGATCTGCACACAGGCTAGAGGGTGGGAGAAGGTTAGAGGAACAGGAGGATCAGACAGGAAGGCGCAGACTAGCAGAGAGGGGAGGGGAGGAGGGGGAAAAGAGAGCAGAAGAGCTTGAGGATATAGTGTTGTTTGTAGAGCAGGGCACGCAGAGCACAAGGCGCAAGCTAGCAGCGAGCAAAGAGGAGGAGGAGGGGGAAAAAAGAGCGGAAGAGCTTGAGGATATAGTGTTGTTCGTCGAACAAGCCATTTGCTGCCATGCGACTCTGGGCACATTCACCACGCTCAAGTCCACTGCTGGCAGCCTTGTGCACGCTCTGAGGAGGGCAGGGAACTGTGTGGTGGAGGAAGAAGCGTTTCAGAGGCAAGGGGGGAGGAGATGATGAATGGAGTTTTGGAGGCAGGGAGGGGGGCAGCTGAGGCACGTTCACCACGCTCAAGTCCACTGCTGGCAGCCTCGTGCACGCTCTCAGGCGAGCAGGGAACTGCGTGGTGGAGGAGGAAGCGTTCAAGAGGCAGGGAGGGAGGAGATGAAAATTCTAAGGAGTGATACAAGTCCATGCCTCTTTTTGTAGGCTCGTTCACCACATTCAAGTCCACTGCTGGCAGCCTCGTGCATGCTCTGAGACGGGCGGGGAATTGTGTGATAGATGAGGAGGCGTTCAAGAGGCAGGGCTGGAGGAGATGAGGAGGCGAGATTACTGGACGTGGAGGAGGGGGGGGGGATTGTTGAGGGGAGAGGGGAGGCCATTCAAGGGAGAGGGGAGTGGGAGGGCCAAGGGGAATTAGCCATACAGCCTTGTACGAGGTGGGTGGGTAGTTTGGTGGAGGATGTATTTGGAAGCAAAAGGGAGGGAGGAAATGAGAGTGCCCTTGATGTGGCGTTGGCAAAAAAGAAATGACGGTAATTGCAGTAAGGAGGATTTTGGATGTGTAGCATGGTGCGATGTACCGGTAATGCTGAGCTCACTGTCGTGTACAGCTGATTGTGGTACTGCATGGGTGGGAGATTGGAAATACCCGCGAAAGGTTTTAAAGCCCGCGGCCCAAATTGCGGGCCGCGCGGGTCAAGCCTTTAAAACTTGACGAACTAGTGTTTGCAAGGTTTGAAAAAAAGCGCGCCTGCAATTTGGGACTTGCGGGGACTGAACCAACCCCCAGGGCGAAATACGAGGGCGGGCTGGGTTTGGCAAAAAAAACGAAAGAACCGAGTTCGAAAACGTTCGCCAAACTCCAGACCAGAAAAACCCCCTCGCGTCAAGCTTTTAAAAATTATAAATTTTAAACACACGAAGTGTTTTTCAAAATTTCGTATTTCATAGAGAACGATGCCAAATCAGAAGTAAGGGTACATTCCTGTGGAGACACAAATGTCTCAATCGCTTTGTGACACACAAAAACAGCATAAACTGTAGTGTGTCCCAATTGCGAGTCGCATTTCCGCGACCATTACTGTATTTTTTATTGGTCAGCGTGAAACGCGCTGACGTCGCTGACGAATTGTAATCTGACTCGTCAATGTGAAAAATTCGCACGCTGCTCGAAATGTCAATGCACCTGGACAGCCTGCAATGCCAATTTCGTGCGGGAAAAAATCCCGCTCGTCGAAACCACACCCCAGCCAAGCGGTTGAAAAAAGGGATGTACAGTCATTTGTGTCACCCAAACAAATGCGCACAACTGTACATCTCGCCTGGTCGCCTAGAGTCGCGATACATTGGTTGTTTGTGACACAACATTTGGCAAATTTACAGGCGCGACTCGGGAAATCGGGGATTGAGACACAAGTGTCCCCGCAGGAATGTACCCTAAGAGAAAGCAAGCTTTCTAAATGTTGTGCAATTTGGACTGCCGGCTTTAATTACCCTCTTAGGCTCAGACATGGCTCCAATCACAGCATGGTGCAATGTAACGCTCACTTTCGTGTACAGCTCCACTGTATCATGGGATTGTAATACCGTAGATGTAATCAGCCATTCGCAGCACCCAAAATCTAGACCTTCAGTTCCTTTCCATTATTGAATCATAGGCCGCGATGACTAGGGAGAATTAGTTTGTGAAGCTCTATCCGTCCATCTATGCATAACCATTCCTAACACTTAGGATAGACAGTGGGGCCACGAGCCAAAGCAGAGTGTGTTATACGTGCTCTGCTCTGCTGCTCCTCCCATCCCATCCATCTATCCCTGGAGTCCTGACTCTTGTGCAACAATAATGCAAGCACAGGCTTGACTCGCAGCAGTTACAGTAACCCTGCTCACAAACGATACACATTCTGCCCATGCGCCTATCCTTCACACGATAACAGGAGGTGCCATGAGCCAAGAGAGGGTGTTAGACAGATGCTCCACCCACCCATCCAGTGGCCCCGGATGACAATAATGCAAGCAGTCACCTTTGTAGCCCCTGCAAGTCAGCAGCATGTTCCTTCTCTAAATCTGCCTACCGGTACTCTTCACGCATCAACAGGAGAAGGAGGCGCCATGAGCCAAGAGAGGGTGTTAGACAGATGCTCCACCCACCCATCCAGCGGCCCCGGATGACAATAATGCAAGCAGTCACCTTTGTAGCCCCTGCAAGTCAGCAGCATGTTCCTTCTCTAAATCTGCCTACCGGTACTCTTCACGCATCAACAGGAGAAGGAGGCGCCATGAGCCAAGAGAGGGTGTTAGACAGATGCTCCACCCACCCATCCAGCGGCCCCGGATGACAATAATGCAAGCAGTCACCTTTGTAGCCCCTGCAAGTCAGCAGCATGTTCCTTCTCTAAATCTGCCTACCGGTACTCTTCACGCATCAACAGGAGAAGGAGGCGCCATGAGCCAAGAGAGGGTGTTATACAGATGCTCCACCCACCCATCCAGCGGCCCCGGGTGGCAATAATGCAAGCAGTCCACCTTGTTAACTGCCGGCACAAACTCCTTATGCCCATCTGCTCGCAGCGCCGTCATCGAATCCACATCCATATAAGCAGCTCCGTACCTCTTCACAATCACCTCCGCAAGCTTGTTCTGACGCGCGAACTTATCCCAGTTATACGGCAAAATCCCCGGATCCTGCCGTTTCTTCAGCGGGGTTTTCTGACCGGAGCAGTTGGCGTGACCGGGCGGCGTGTTTCGCCAGATTATGAGCTTTTCCGGGAAGCGGCTTCGGAGGTACATAAGGGCGCGTTCAAGCACCGGTGCGTAGAGCTCATCCTCTTCATAGTGCGGCCCGCGATTGATTATAATAACATCGGCTTCGCGGATAACTTCCATTCGGGACCACGGCTGTCGATCGAACAGGCGAGGATTCGACAGGGTGAGCTGATCCGTTCGCACATAAGCTGCCCGAAGCCCCGGGCAGACGTCGTCGCTGACCGAATAGAACTTGCAAAAGGCGTGCCGGAACGACGAATCATTGTGCCAATCGGAGCAATACCTCGGAATATCCATTCTCAAATGCTCCTCGGAGACCGGTTTCGGGAGATTCAGCACAAGGTTGTTCAGAAAGGCCTCTGAAAGCTGCTCGTTCAGAGAGTCTCCCAGGAAGAGGAAGAGCCGCCCTCGCCCCACTCTCTCACAGAATTTCTCCGGGGAGAATTTCATCCAGCTGGAGTGGGAGAATCGCATCGTCATCCGCATCGTCTCCCGCCCATCCCCACCGCTCTCCACCGCTCTGGCCTCCCTCCCGCGATACCTCCTCCCGCCCTCTGTCTCCTCCTCCTCCACCTCCCACGACCGCACAGGCACCTTCGGGCAGGCATTAGCCGGCACACCCCATTTGTACTTGAGAGTTTCTCTAACTGTCCACTCCTCCGGATCACCCCTAGCATCCGCAATCTCATCAGCTTCCCCCAATGATTTCCCATGGTGCCGCCCGCTCATTGGTGAGTCACATTGGTAGGGTTTCCCCATAAACCACCAGGGTAATCGGCGGGGTTTCGGGTCGTATACCCACCTGCCTTCCTGACCTACACATTTCATCCAGGATCGGAACTTCTGAACCTGCAGCGGTCCCCGAAGCACCGAGCCTCGGATCAGGTCCGTCGGCCGAAGCAGCGACCGGCCGCTAGCTTCGGCGTCGGCGAGAGCTTCGGCGGCAGCTTCGGCGTCGCGGGTCGGGGACATAGCCGCGGCTACAGCAGCGGGCGAGGTGTAGATGTCGTGAGCTATGCGATCAATGACATCGTCAATCTCCCGCGTGTTGCACTCCAATTGGCCGGATCCCGCTGCCACGTCATCATTGTCGCCGCCCGGCTGGCAGATGAGGACGAAAGAGCGGACGTCGTTGGCCGAGGCGAAGGAGCGGGAGAGGAGGGTGTAGCGGGTGGTGTGGGAGACGGGGATGGGCGGCCGGAGGTCGAGAACCGCCGCCCGGGGCGGCATGAACATGGTGTTGGTGATGGCGAGGCCGAGACAGGTTATGAAGAGAGCTGCCCGGTTGAATATGTGCTTTCCTGGGGTGGTGGTGGGTGGTGGTCGGGGGGAAGGGAGAAGGTGGGGGGAAGGGGAAATAGGGAACAGCGAAGAAGGGATTGCGAGACAAGAGTGAACATGGTGTGGTGGTGGCGAGGCTTTTGAGAATTCTCAAAAGTCATACCAATAGGGAACAGCGAAGAGGGGATTGCGAGACAAGAGTGAACATGGTGTGGTGGTGGCGAGGCTTTTGAGAATTCTCAAAAGTCATACCAATAGGGAACAGCGAAGAGGGGATTGCGAGACAAGAGTGAACATGGTGTGGTGGTGGCGAGGGCAAGACAGGTTATGAGTGCAGCTCGGATGAATATGTGCTTTCCTGGGTGAATGTGGGTGAGTTAAGGGAACAGAAAAGAGGGGAGTGAGTGAGAGGCATGAACATGGTGTTGGTGATGGATGGCGTGGCTGAGACAGGTGATGAAGAGTGCTGCCTGGTTGAATATGTGCTTGCCTAGGTGGATGTAGGTGAACGTGTTTACATGGAGATGCTGGCAGACACGTGCAGCATGCTCACACGGACGCTCTTAAGACGAACCTTCCATGATCTTTCTGCTGGAGGAGAAGACGACGATTCTGTCAGCAGGGAAGTATCGGTGCAGCAGCTCCTCTACCTGGCCCAGTGCTTTGGTGCAGCGCATTGAGTCGTGCGCCACCACCACCTGCATGCAGCAATGACATGTATGCACAGGCATAGATAGGGGTATGAGATATGGGAAGTATCAGTGCAGCAGCTCCTCCACCTGGCGTAATGCCTTGGTGCATTGCATTGAGTCGTGTGCCACCACCACCTGCCAATACAAGCAGCGCACCTGCACACATGCACAGACAGACACACATGGGTGTGCAAAGAGAGTGAGTATCGGTGCAGCAGCTCCTCTACCTGCCCCAGGGCCTTGGTGCAGCGCATTGAGTCATGTGCCACCACGACCTGTTCATTGACGCGTACACGCATGCACACACAAACACACACACACACACACACACACACACACACACACACACACACACACACACACACACACACACACACACACACACAGGTGGATGCACTAACATGCGCCGGCAGTGCAGGCATCGAGGTGTAAACATGGCGACTTTTGGCGTCAACTCAAGCTGACTTCTGGGTCCACTCAAAAGTCACCTCGCATACACACACATGAGGATGCACTAGCATGCACCAGCAGTGCAGGCCGGAAGGTGCGTGCAGCATACATGGAATAGAACGACCTTGTAGGACAGCCGCCACACACTCTCACCTGCCAGCCTATGGGCACCCACGACCCGTGCAGGTCCCCTCCCTGTGCGTATCCCTACACTGGCAGAGCCAGCAGCAAGGTGCTTTCAGCATAGATAGAGAATGCTTCGAGTTACCCAGACAGGGCAACCCTACACGGCTTAACACCCTCACCTGCCAGCCTATGGGAACCCACGACCCATGCAGGTCCCCTCCCTGCGCGTACCCCTCTACCGGCAGAGCTGGCAGCGACGGGAACACCGATCGCGCCCCATCCAGGAACCCAGGCGGCACCTTCAGCACACGCTCTAGAGGAGAGGAGGGGTCGCTGAGAGCAGAACGGAGTGTGGTGGGGGGGACCCATGTGACTGAAGGAACAAAGCGACCTTATAAACCTAGATTCTCACCTGCCACCCGATCGGCACCCACGAGCCGTGCAGGTCCCCTCCCTGCGCGTACCCCTCCACCGGCAGAGCCGGCAGCGACGGGAACACGGATCGCGCCCCGTCCAGGAACCCAGGCGGCACCTTCGGCACACGCTCTAGAGGAGAGGAGGGGTCGCTGAGAGCAGACGAGGGGTTTTCTTCAGTGAGTGAACGTGAGGAAGAGGAGGAGGAGAGGGTGGGAGTGGGGGTGGTGGAATCGGCTGTGGGGTCTGGGAGGGGAGGGGTGGGGAGGAGGAAGCGTCGGCGGAAGTGCTTCCAGAGAGGGAGGTCTGGATTGGTGCAGTGCGGTATGACTGGCTGGTAGAGAGTCTGCACGTGCCACAGGTACTTGCTGGAGGTGGTGCCATCGGTAGTGGAGAGAAAGGAGTGCTTCGCTAGAGGCAGTCCCAGCAGCTGCGATATGAGCAGCTGCAGTAGCTGTGGTTTGGATGGAAGGGAGGGAGGGGAAGGGGGAGCGAGGGAGAAAGAAGAGTGTAAGATGAGCTTTAGGATTGAGAAGTTAGGAATTAGGGTTTGAAGGCGAGACTTTAGGGTTCAAGGGGAGAGGCTTTAGGGTTTATGAGAAGGTCTGGGTTTAGACTGGAGGAGATCCGATCTGCTGGGCAAACAGTGATTGTCATTTGAACATAAATTGCAACTAAAATAAGGATGTCTTGCACATGAGGTGTGACAAATTTGTTCAGGAGGCGCACAACACCTCATTCCACTGCACTGCACCGTACCTTCTTGACGTGAGTGACAATTTCGGCTCCGCACAGGTACGGCAGCAAGTGGTGCAGCGGCAGCAGAAAAGGCGTCTTTTCATCAACAGCAGCACCATCAGGGACTGACGTACAGGGTACGCCTCTCCACCTCGATGCACCACTCTCGACCACTTCATGCCACAAAAAACGCATTCCACTGTGCTGAACCATACCTTATTGGCGTGAGTGACAACTTTGGCTCGACACAGGGACGGCAGCACCATGAGAATCTGATCGTACAAGGGACGCCTTATATCTGATACTACCGCACTGAACCGCTTCACACCACTTTATGCCACACTTTACCGCATTCTACCGTCTTCCACCACACTGCACCATACCTTCTTGGCGTGAGTGACGACTTTGGCTCGGCGCAGGGACGGCAGCACATTGTGCAGCGGCAGCAGGGGCGGCAGCACCATGAGAATCTGATCGTACAGGGGACGCCTCTCCATAAAGTGACCCGGTAGAAGCAGATTCAGTACAGTCTCCTGGCGAGACACGTGTGTGTCCACTCCATACACCGTCTGATTATCAATAAAAAAACGGAAGGGGAAAGGGAAGAGATGGAGAGAGGGGGGTTGGGAAGGAGGGAGGGATGGAGGAAAGGAGGGAGAGAGGGAGAGAAAGAGGAGGGAGGGAGGGGGAGAGGGAGGGAGGGAGGGAGGGAGGGAGGGAGGGAGGGAGGGAGGGAGGGAGGGAGGGAGGGAGGGAGGGAGGGAGGGAGGGAGGGAGGGAGGGAGGGAGGGAGGAGGGGAACGAGGGAGGGAACGAGGGAGAGAGGAGGAAGCATGGAAGAGAGGGAGAATTATTGCAACCAGGAGCGACGGGAGGGAGCAAGGGTGGCGAGGGAGAAAGAGAGGGAGTAAGGAAAGGAGTGAGTGAGGGAGAAAGGGAGGGAGTAAGGAAAGGAGTGAGTGAGGGAGAAAGGGAGTGAGAAAGGGCTGCTGCTGGCAGAGGCAGCAACCTGAGGCAGCACGGTCAGCACAGCACAGCACGTGCGCAGCTGGGGGACCTTTGAGCCGACATTTTGAGGCGCCTCAAAATACAGTCGACAAAAAAGCAACCGGGACTTCACGTTGCAATACCCTCACGGGCAGCACGGGCAGCACGGACGCACCTGTGACGATGACGTGGCGCAGCCTGATACGTCGAAGCGATGCGTGGCGTTGAACACGCGGCCCTCGCCGTCCAGAAACACGTCGTTCAGCACAAACAGCGCACCCGCCGGCTCCGGGGCCTTCTTAGCCGCCTTACCCCACTTTAATCTCCGCCGCGCCTGCGCCTCCCGCTGCGCCTGCTCCTGCGCGGCTCGTAACTCGGCCGTTCTAAGCGACAAGGTGATTGGTCCCGGATCGTCGTCAGGAGGACAGCTGGGTCGCAATAGGTGGCCTGGTTGCGTCCCGTCGTCTTCTAAGCATTGATCCAGCGGGTCAACTCCCGTGCTGAAGTGGATCCGCGACTGCGTACGGTTCAGCAAAATCGTACGGCCGTACGCTGCCAGGTCAGCATCGGGATCGACCGGATCCGCGGGATTCCAACACGTGGCGACCTTTCCGGCGAACCCGGGACAGGGGGAAAGATCCGGACACGGTTTCCCCTTGCAAGAAACTGATCCGGCTGGAACAGAGACGTCTGACGAGGAGGCGAGAGAGGCGAGAGGAGCGAAACGGACGAGCTTTAATTTTGAGAGATTAATCGGGTTCCCTAGGGAGTATTTTCCAGCTCTTCGGCCGGAGGGCTGAAGAACCTGTAAGCGTCGCCGCTGATTTGCGTCCTTAGCGGATCGGGAGGTTTGGAAAGGTATCCGCGAATCACGCGGCGATGAGGAATTGGACGGTGGAGATAGTTCCGATAAGCGATCGACGGCTGCGATGCTGGCTAATGACGAGCAATCAGAAGCATTATAACGGGTGCTCGCTAGCTTTATCAGGGGATTCGTTACAGGAGAGGTTTCCAGTCGCTTCAGCAGACGTGATAGACGACGATAATCGGCAGAAGGGCGCGTGGGTGTACAGGCCGAACCTATAACGAATGCGCTTATAACGACAAGGACTATACGGAGGATCAGCGAGCCAGACGGCCTCGAGAATGGTCGAGGCGCCATGAGCACATGAGAGGAGGAAAAAATATCGTTCGCGAAATCAGCGCCCGAAGTTAGCTAGTAGTGACGAGGAATGGGAGGAGGGCACGCGCCCGCATCCAGCGGCGAGGGAATGCGCGGCTCGGACGAAGGGAGAGCAATGACCAGGATCCAGGATACGCAATGGGATCAGATCTGATCAAAACTGATCAGAAAAGATCAGAGACAGCACACGCGGCGCCTCCTATGACAACGTTGTGGAACGCAACGACTCTATCCGCGCCATTGTCTTAGGATTGCAAGAGACTGTAATACAATCTAGCCCGGCTGTTCTGAAGAATTTTCAAGACAATGCCCAATGCCCCCAATCTAGCGTGCCAAGGCTACGGACACAACTCATCAACTGTAACACATGTGCTCCTTCACACTACTCGTCGACTCGTTTCATTGTAGTGCCGCACTGGCGCTTAATCGTCTCGAGCCGTGACGATCTTCCTGCCCTAACTGCATCGGGGAGGGGAGACCCACATTTTCCCGCAGCGCACCTAACCAAGGCATCAACCGACAGGTGAAGAGGGAGAGGGGAGGAGCAAGCAGACAAGCTTGGTTCGGTTTGTTCGGTTCGGTTTGGTCGGGGTGGTGGGCGGGTGGTCAGGGGGCGTGTCTGAATAGTACGTTTGGGTGCGGCTTGGAGAGATTGTTGACGTTCTACAGGGCTGTACTAGCGTTTTAGAACGGTTGGGTAAAGGTTGGGCGAAAACGAACGTTTTGGCACACCCCCACGAGGACAGGTTTCTCTTGCGTGGCATGGACAGGTGACAGGTCACACAGGAGAGCACAGGGCAGGAAGCACTCAGGGAGGACAGGCACTCTACAGAGAAGCTTGCGGCGCAGGTGTGTCACTGATGTCAAGCAGCCACCTGGCTTCAAATTAATAATTATAAATAATATTTTGTTTCTTTCTTCACATGCGCATCTAGTGTAGTGGTATCATAGTACCCTCCCACGGTACTGACCGGGGTTCGATTCCCCGGATGCGCACACTCCTTGCCATTTTTAGTTTTTACTGATCCCCCATTTTGCTTGGCTCTTCACATTCTTGCCCAGCTCTTGTAGTACCTTGCTGATAGGATTGCGTATCCCATTCTCTCAGTCCTAGGACCACCAAGGACTTTCACATCATGAATATTTTTAAAAGCTGTAACGCTTTTCAAAATTTTGTATTTTGAAAGCGAAGCGGCTTGTAATGTAGCAATGGTCATCGGCGAACCGCGCTAAACGCCCGTTTTGGAGTACAAAACGTGGGCTGGAGGTCATTTCCCTCCACCCACGTCTTTCATTTTCAAACGGCTTAGCCTAGTTTCCGAGTTCCCAATTCCAAGCTGGCGAAATTGAAGTCACTACCTCGTTTCCAGTCTCCGTCCACACTCCTTTCGGACATTTTCGCTCATAACGCGGCGACTATGGCACTCAACGGCGAGAACGGTGACAACGCCAACGCTTCAATTCGTCCCGACGACGGAAATATTACCCGCGAACCCGCGGGCGAACGCCGGAACAAGCGTCGGGCAGACGACGAGGAGTCGACCCCGACCGCCGTCGACATTCTGCTGTCCGACGTCGCTGGGGCACGCGCCCCTGGGGTGCCTCGAGCGCAAGTGGCCCCTGAGGGGCCTGAGGCGCCGGCAGTCAACGAGTGCGCCAAGTCAACGCCGGCCAGCGCGACCGGCACCCCCCGTCAGCGTCAGCGCCGCAGGCACGCACACGCGCCTGACGTGAGGCCTCAGGCGCACGTGGGCCCTGACGCGCCTCAGGCCCCTGACGCGCCTCAGGCCCCTGACGCGCCTGTGGCCTCGCCTGTCTTCACATCGGCCCACCTGCAGCAGCTGTTGTCCCTGTTACAGCAGCAAGCTCCCGCCGTTACGGAAACCAACGCTGCACCAAACGAAACGTCAATTTCGGCTAAAAGCGCGAAGGAAAAAAGGGAGACGGTGAAACGCGCTCGCACGACAAAAATCGCACGCGCCGAGGGCACCACCGCCAAAGCTACCCCGGCCCCAAAAAATCCAGCCGACAGCGACACTTCCGACGACGAAGCTGGTGAGGCACCTGCCGATAATGCATTTTTTTCAACCACCGAGCACCTCCCCCCCCTCCCTACCTCCAACCCTAACCTCACCGCATCTTCCTTCAAGAACGCTGCTGTTCGCGAACAAGCCGAGCTCCTTGAGGACCTGCGTGCCTACCTGATGCATGCGGAGCAGAAAGTGCGGCTCAACGAACCGGCAAGCGCCATCGAACTCCTCGAGGAGGCGCTCTCGCTCGTCAATAATCGTTTCAGGCTTCTCCACGTCGCCGATTACACGAATTTCCGCGTCGCTAACCGGTTCAAGATGTATGAAGAGAAGAGCTTGTTCACCTCGCGCCCATTCAAGCAAGCCATGGCGGACGTTGCGGCCATGGAACGCGCCCAAGGCAACCCCGGCCGCGCCGCACGAGGTGGAGGGCGAGGAACCGGTGCATTTGGCAACAAACGTGGTCCACCAATGGACAACAACATCAGGAGCTTTCGTGGAACCTGCTTCAAGTGCGGACAGCCCGGCCACATGGCCAATATGTGCCCCGATAATGGGCGAGGGGCCCAAGGACCCGCGCCGGTGAGCACGTTGCATGGGCAACATGGTGTGCTTAGGCCGCTGGCCAGACCCTGCGGGGCGAGTAGAATGGCCGCCGGCCGACCCCTAGTGAAGGGAGTAGGACTAGGAGTCCTAGGACTTAGCCATGGGTGGCAATCATGAGTTGTATGCGTGTTAAAGCATGAAATATGGGCCGGAGTGGCAAGTCATGTGGACAATCGTTGATGTGTGGCTTAATGAATGAAATTTAAATTATTGGAACCTGGATTATTGAAGCGAGCAGCCCTCGGAGAGTGAGGCCTAAGCGGTTGAGGTACTAAAAAAAAAAAAAAAAAAAGGGGGGGGAGAAGAGGACAAAGAACGAAAGACAAGGAGAAGTGTGAGATGATGAAGATGTTGACTCTTAAGGAGGCCACACTATTTGGCCAGCACCAGCCCAATTTAACGGGACACGAGAGGGCCACTTGCGCGACAAGCGCACAAGGAGGGCATACGAAGCATATTACTACGCGCAATTGACACGATGGGCAAAGAGCCCACGAGACAAGGCACGTTATCATAAAAAATGTGCAAAGCACAATCCGGCAGCCCACCCCGAGCTCGTCGAACATCGAGAGCCCTCGGGTGCACATACGGCAAGCCTAAGGACGTGTATATTAGGCGTTGAAAGACAAAAAAAAAAAAAAACAACAACAACAACAACAACAACAACAACAACAACAAGGGAGAGAGAGGTGAACGTATCAATATGAAAGAGAAGGGGAAGGGTGGGTAAATGGCCTACCTCGTGAGGGTTCGGCCATACACTGCCCCGTTGTTCGCTAGTACATGCACTCGTATTAATAGCAACTAGAGCTGATGCAAAAAAAAAAAAAAAAAAAAAAAAACGTCTTCACAGCCTGTGCCCTTTTTGCGACCCGTTGCACAGATCCACCGGATGGCGGGATGGGCGAGCGACACATCCCCTACGAATACGCGATCACAGATAAGCTCGTCACAAGGATGTGCGGTCGGCTACGCTTGGCATTCCCATGGTGGAGCTCATGGTGCGACAGCAGCTTCATACTCTCAGTGATACTTCACGGTTACTGGATGCCGTGGGAACTCATCCCCCCAGCGCCGTTCCAGCGCGACAATCACGCGGGCGCACAGATCCACGCCCAGTTACCAAACAGGCTATTAGCGAGCTCCTAGAAAGCGGCGCAGCTGCTCCTGCCCCTGCGGCTCAGACCGTATGCATTAGCCCACTGAACGTGGTGGTCCAAAGAGAGAAATGCCGACTGATCCTCGACCTCCGCCAAGTGAACCTGCACATGCGCATTCCAAAATTCAAGTACGAGGGGCTCAATCGGGTTGCGGAGATCGCTCGCGTGGGCGACTGGATGTTCTCTATCGACCTAAAGTCTGGGTATCACCACGTGGATATTCACCCATCCTGCTGGAAGTACCTGGGATTTCGATTTGACGGAAAGACATACATATTCCGCTCGCTCCCGTTCGGCCTCGCGACGGCCCCATTCGTTTTTACACAACTGATCAAACAACTCGCTCGGCGCTGGCGAGCCATGGGCATACGGGTCATTCCTTATGTCGACGACATCCTCTTCCTTTGTGACATGGAAGCGAAAGCACGAGCCACATGTCAATCAATCATACATGACCTCAACAAGGCAGGGTTTGTGATCAACTCGAAAAAGTCGCATCTACAACCGACCCAGCAGTTGCGTTTCCTGGGCGTCGAGTTAGACACTGACCGTGGTCAGTTCTCTATCGGCGCTGAACTTCGAGCCTCACTACTCTCCACCCTCCAAGTCCTTCCGAGGGAAGGAAAGGCAGAACGCAAGGTCCCAGTCCGTCACATCGCCAGAGTCACCGGCATGCTGGCATCCATGTCACTGGCTCTTGGGGCGACGACACGAGCGTTCAGTCAAGGCCTGCTGCAGGCAATCCAGCAGGCACCATCATGGAATAGTAAAGTGCTGCTGGACCCTATGGCGATTGAAGAACTGGACTTTTGGCGCCACGAGTTCGACAAATTCAACGGCGCCCCATTTCACGTCCCCAACAGCTACGATGCCGTCATCCATGTGGATGCCAGCGCACACAGTTGGGGAGCGACGTTGGACAAGTTCCCAGGACGGCGTATCGAGGCAAGTGCGGCAATGCCGAAGCATCTGCTAGAGGCATCCAGCACGCAGCGAGAGATAGATGGCGTTCTATGGGCACTCCAAACGTTTTCAGAAAGAATCCGCGACCAGCACGTCCTCGCAAGGACCGATAACCAAGGCGTTTTCTTCATCCTTCGGAAAGGTGGTTCAAGGCACACCAACCTTACAGCGACGTGCAAGTCGATCATCCTGACATGCATGACTTTTCGGATTCGGCTCGTGGTCGAATGGATCCCGCGCGAACTAAACACACGGGCGGATGAACTCTCCAAGGCGCTCGATCGTGACGACTACTCACTAAAGACACCTTGGTTCCGACTCATCGAGCGTCGCCTGGGCCCGCACTCAATCGATCTATTCGCAAATGGGAGCAATACCAAGCTACCTCGGTTCTGCTCCAAAACACCGCACCCAGACGCAGCGGCAGTTGACGCATTCTCGATCCCATGGACCTCCGAGCAGGGATACGCATTCCCTCCACCGCACTTAATCCCAGCAGTGCTCCACCACGCGAAACGAACTCGCGCCGCCATCACTCTCGTCACGCCTTACTGGCCTGGCGCAAGTTGGTGGCCCCTACTGCAACCCTCCCCTCCTCAATGGGCCACCTACATTCACACCCACCTCCACCTCACGCACGGTAGCCAGTGCCTGATGGCAGGCAATCACTCCAGCGCCTTCTCCGGCGACGGTTTGCCGTGTAGTCCTATGGTCGCACTACGCGTGTCATTCACCTGCTAACTGCTTTTGCACACGATGCAGGATTGCTGGAAAAACTCAAGCATCGCCTACTAGAGATAACCACGCAAACGCGGGCCGACTCCACAATCCGTACATACGAGCCCTACTGGGTCAAGTTCCGCTCCTTTTGCCAACACCACAAGCTCAAGTTCCTCCCATGCACTGACATGACGCTCGCGCTGTACCTGGTCCACGCCATTCAACACAAGGCTACGGTGTCTGCAATTCAGTTGACATGCTCTGCAGTCAGCTTCGCGCATCGGTCGATCGGGGCATCATGCCCGTCCATCGGCGCATTCACCTCTCAAGTCAGAGATTTTGCGAAGAAGCGATGTCCGCACCCTACCCGGGCCAAAGAACCCGTGTCGCTTCATCAAGTCCACGCGATGGCATCAGAATTTCTACAGTCAGACAACCCTCGCGAATTTCAGAAGGGGCTAATACCGATCATAATGTACGCCGGGTTTCTGCGCTACTCCGACCTTGCAGTCATCAACTGGCATGAGATTCATTTCGAGCCGGAAGTCATGTGGTTACTAATACCCCGTTCCAAGACGGATCAGGCAGGAGAAGGCACATGGGTCCCGGTAGCGGCAAGCCCTGGCCCCTTTTGCCCACTTCGGTGCACCAAACGATTCATACACCTAGCACGATACGATCAATCGCAACAAGGCCCACTCATCCGCGTCTTTGGAACAGAGGGTGGGAAAAACGGTGCCGCCAAGTCGCCATCCTACACCACAATCCGCAACTGGTGCAAAGAGGCCTTCAACAAAATCGGTCTTAGTTTCGAGCATCTCGGCACCCACTCTTTTCGGAAAGGTGCAGCAACTGTCGCAGCCAACGCCGGAATATCAGACCGCATCCTGAAGCGACTAGGAAGGTGGAGCAGCGACACCGCCAAGGAGACGTACATCACGCCTGCCGCAGACCAACTGGTGGGGGCTTCGAAGCAAGTTCAAGACCCAGCACGAGCCCTCTCCCCCGCTCAACACGCCACGACAGTGGCGCGCCAACGGCGTCCAACAAGACACGTCTCAGAAGACCCACTTGAAATGAGACGATGCCATTGCTACAACAAGAAAGCAAGCTTTCTAAAATATGAATATTTTTAAAAGCTGTAACGCTTTTCAAAATTTTGTATTTTGAAAGCGAAGCGGCTTGTAATGTAGCAATGGTCATCGGCGAACCGCGCTAAACGCCCGTTTTGGAGTACAAAACGTGGGCTGGAGGTCATTTCCCTCCACCCACGTCTTTCATTTTCAAACGGCTTAGCCTAGTTTCCCGCCCACCCACCCCGTAGAACTGGGACCAATTATGGATAGTTGGTTGCTTTATAATAATTGCATGCTAGCTTGGACATGTCTGTACTTTGCCATTTGAAATGAGACGATGCCATTGCTACAACAAGAAAGCAAGCTTTCTAAAATACACACAGTGCTCACTTCACCAGACCAGATGTACCACAACCTGCATTCCCCAAACTTGAAACAGCACTCTCACGGGGCCATTCATCCACTGGATTAGCAACCCAACCTCTGATGTACGGTAGCAGCCACAACCTCTCAAGTACGGTACGGTGTCAGCCAAAAGCAGTGAACTCTCCTACCTGCCAATATTCTCCATGAAATACAACAAAAAAAAGTACCCTAGTCATATAAGCTGATAATTAATACAGTGGAAATCCTTCACAACAGCAGTACCTAAGGCAAAGGGGGCAGAGTCCTGAGCAGGGTATTGTACAAGATGTCCATCCATGAATCCAACGGTCCAGGAGTGCAGTAGTGCAAGCAATCCAGCCGTTGGATCGATGGCTTCCATCCCTTGTGCCCATCCGGCCGTAGAGCCGTCATCGAATCCACATCCATGTACACTATCCCCAGCTCCTCAGCCATTCCACGTGCCATCTCATTCTGCTGACTCAGCTTGTCCCAGTTGTAAGGGAGAATGCTCGGATCCTGCCTTTTCGAAATCGGAACCGTTGCGTTTTCGCAGTCAGCATGGCCGGGCGGGGAGTTGCGGTATATGATCAGCTTCTTGGGCCATCGGTTTCGGAGGTAAGTCATAACCGTTCGCACTTCCGGCTCGAACACTTCGTTCACCGTATAGTGCGCTCCACGGTTAATTATAATAATATCGGAGTGGGCAACTTCCGGCATGCGCGTCCACTGTAGCTCGCTGAAGTGCCTCGGCGCGCCGAGCCACAGGTGGTCGCTTCGGATGAACAAAATCTTCAGGCCCGGGCAAATCTCGTCAGCAAACTCAATGGTCCGGCAAAACTCGTGCCGAATCTCCGTGTTGTTGACCCAGTCAACGCAGAACTTGGGCTTTGACTCCTTAACCGCCCAGTCAGCCGGCTTTGGCACATATCTCAACATCTGGTTGATGAAAATCCCGAAAAACTGCTCGTTCAGGGAATCCCCCAGGAACAGAATCGTCCGATTCTTGCCGACCCTGCTGCAGAAATCAGTCGGCTGAAACGGCACCCAGGCCTGATCCTGAACGGGCATAGGGCAGCTGCCATGCACCCTCCAGTCGTACTTAAGACTCTCCCGTACCGTCCACTTCTCGGGGTCTCCTCCCGACAGAGCATACTCATCAGATTCCTTTTTCATGAGCCCTTGTGTTGCGTCCCAATGCCGGTGGTCGCACAGGTTGATGTTCCCCATGTATTCCCAAGGTAACACGCGGGGAGTCGCGTTGTAATCCCACCGACCCTGCTTCGCAACGCATGTCATCCAATCGTTGAACGCCCGAACCTCCTCCCCGGACCTCAGCTTCGTCCCAATCAGCTTCTGCTTTAGTCCGAACCTGCCGCCCGCCGGACCTGCGATGGCTCGGACAGTATCTCTGGTTACCACCTCGCTGGTGTACACGTCGTGCGATACCCTATCCAGCACATCGCGCACGTGCCACATGTCGCAAGATAAGCGGCTGCGCAGCGGGGCGTTCCCATTGGCCGGCTTGGGGTCGGGCTGGGCGGCGCAGAGCAGCAGATAATGCCGAAGCCCGCAAGCCTCTGCGAGCTGCCTGGTGGGCAGATCCGGATCCGCTGCTACAGCTGCTGCCGAGCCTGCTTTCTGGGCGGCATTGGGGTCTAGAACGGCCCGAAGCTCTAGGACCGTGGCGTTGGGTGGCATGAACATGACGTGAGCAAGAGCGGAGGTCGAAGTGGATATGAAGAGAACTGCTCTGTTGAATAAGTCCTTGGCTGTAGGGGATGGGGGGAAGCGATGAGAGAAAGGGGAGGGAGGGAAGAAAGGGAGGGGTGGGTTAGAGAGGGTGGCATGAACATGACGTGAGCGAGAAAGGAGGTCGACGTGGAGGTGAAGAGAACTGCCCGGTTGAAAAGGTCTTTGGCTGGAAGGGATAGGTAGGGATGGGAGAGGGGGGAGGGATGGACGAGGGGGGGAAAGAGAAGGAAGGGTGGGTTAGAAAAAAGGGGTGGCATTAACATGAGACGAGGAGGGAGGGGTGTGTGGACAATGAGAAGAGGAAGTGGGGTGGGGCCGAGTGGGAGGGAAAGGGGATGGATGCTAATGGGAGGGGAAACGGGGGTGATAAAGAAAACCGAGAGGGGAAGTGAGAGTGGTGGATTGTGAAAAGGGAAGGGGGGTGAGTTGTGGCGACTAGAGAAGGAACATTCTTTTCTCTTTGAGCGTTCATTGTATCACTCCTAAGCGTTCATCAGTATTTTCTCAGTGTCTGGCATTTATAATCCCTTTCCAACACTCAACGAGGGGATGAAGTTGAATAAAGGAGACATCAACTGGAGGAGAAATTGGGGTGTGGGGCGGTGGGGCATTGTAGGGGTGGGCACTGAAATTCCTAATTATGCGCCTCAAGAGAATATGCTTACCTTCCAGAACATTGAGGTTGTTCTTAAAGAGTACAATCCGGTCCTCCGGATAAAAGAATCGCAGCGCATCCCTGATATATCCTGCCTCCTGCACCCGCCCTGCCACGTCAACACCCACCACCACCACCCAATCCGCCGGCACGCCTCCCTCCAACCCCGCTGCTGACTCAGCATTTGCAAACTCAGCGCCCGTTTCTCGGAAGACTTGCGGGGAATCTCTAGGGAGGAGGTGGTTGGAGCGGAATTGCGTCCATAGAGCCATGCTGGGCTGTCGGCACTGCTGCCGGACGGGTTGGTAGAGCTTTTGCACGAACCACAGGTGGGGTACTCCGGGTTTTACCCCCTGAACTTCGTGATCTGTGACGGGCAGTTTGAGAACTCTATTGGCCACTGCTGATAGGAGCTGCGATGGGGGAAGCAGGGAAGGGGAAGGGGGAAGGCGGAAGGGAGGGAGGGGGAAGGGGGGAAACGGGTAGAGGGAAGAGAAGGTTAGGATGATGCTGAGAATTCTCGAGGGAATTTCCACTATAGCTACAATAAGGCCCTTTCCTTCCTCGCTCTTTCGTTACTTGACCTGACCGTTATCCCTCTCTGGTTCGTCCCTGGATATGTCCTCCTTTCTCTCTATAACCCCTGGGAGAGTAGGAAATTGATTGCAGTTTTCACTTGTTCAGTACCATCCCCTTTCTTTAATCCCCCCACCCTCGTGCTATGCATCAAACATCTCTCAATTTCCCCCCTCCCCTCTCTTACCTTTCTGCTCCGAGCCACTATAATGGCGTCTTTAAGTTGCGGCAGCACCTCCTTAAGCGGCAGCATCATGGGGAGAAGATCCGTGCGCTCGTGGCACAACCTCAGCTCAGCCTTCCCTCTTACCTTCCTTTCCCCACTCCCTCTCTCCCTCCCACGCACACTGTCTCCTTCCCCGTCTTTACCTTTCTGCTCCGCGCCACTATAATGGCGTCTTTGAGTTTCGGTAGCACCTCCTTAAGCGGCAGCATCATGGGGAGAAGGTCCGTGAGCTCATGGAATACCTCAGCACGAGGATCTGCCACGTCAGACAGCAGGTTCACCACGTCACGGTGCATGGTAACGTGTGTTCCTGCGGGGTAAGAGACCTGCTCGTGTAAAAGGAAAACAGGAAGGGGGGAGGAAGGGGTGGAAGCAAAAGGGGGAAAGAGAGGGGGGGGCGGGGGGAAAGGAAAGGGAAGGGTCCATAGTAAATAAGTTTTCTCAAAGGGAAGTTGTTAATTTTCGATTATTTTCTGTTCATTCTTTGGTTCGACCACGATGAAATCTTTATTATATTAGAAGTTGGACAGGCGGATGGAGAAGAGAGCGGGAGGGCTGGCGCGAAGAAGGACGAGGAGCAAATAAGATACCGGGGAAGGAGGCAGGAAGGAGGGGAGGGGGAGGGGGAGGGGGAGGGGGAGGGGGAGGGGGAGGGGGAGGGGGAGAGGGAGGGGGAAGGGGATGGGGAGGGGGATTGGCCGAGGGGCGGGGAGGCGGTAAGGGATAAGGGGAAGGAGAGGGGATGAGGGGAGGATGGGACGTAACAGGGTGAACAAATGTGTTACGGTGAAAGGAGGTTCAACTTACGTTTAATTCGGTGATGCAGCCCGACGGGTCGAACAGATGAGTCTCGTTAAACACCTGCCCGCGCCAGTTCACGTAAACGTTTTCCAGCATAAACACCTGCCCGGCCCATTTCTTCTCCCAGTCTTTAGTCACCCTCATCGTCTCCGTATCGACGGGATCCTGGGGCCCAGGACACCCTGGCCGCAGCAGATCACCTGGAGATTCACCTGAATTCTCCAGGCACAAATCCAGGGGGTTTCCCCTCCCGCGTTTCTGCAGGATATGCAGCTGCCGCCTCTGATCCGCGACGGTTCCCGGGCCGCGGAACGGATCCACATATTGGGGGTTCCAGCAGGCTTTAAGCGACGGGAATCTAACCCCGCAGCCCTTAAATTCCGGGCATTGACCGCCGTGACACTTGGCCTGCGGAGCGCCGTCGTATTCTGGTGAAGGCGTCTGAAATTCGTGGAAATAGTCGAGAGGGACGCGAGTTAAGGAGGTAAGATAAAGCGGCTTCTCGAGCTGGCGCGAGGCGGTTGGGGTGTAAGCCTTGAGAGAACGCCGCTGCTGAATAGCGTTTCCCGCTGCCGCGAGCGATCGCGAGGAGGTGGGATTGAATCTACTGAGAGATTGGCGGATTCTGGACGATAGAGCCTGCGCGAGGCTCTCGCGCGATGCGGCTTCGCCGATCAGAGGCTGACACGTGGCGAAGGCGAGGAGAAACAAGAGAAAGGCAGAGGCGGATCCATGAAGGGAGAACCCCATGATGGTCAGGTACGGAATTTGAGGCGTCTTCGAGCCTGAGACGTCTCAGAAATCGAACCTGCGACGTCCCGAGATAGGCAGAGACGAATATGTATGTCACGCGTTATTCGCGTTCGCACAGAATTGATGGATTGCGCGAGCTAGCAGCTTATTAGAATCAGCCGGCCTTCCCTAGCTTCCCTGAGCTGTTTGGTAGAAAGACCGCAGAATCATTCTGGTCAACGAGAACGCATTGATATAGCCGAATGGTACTGCCGCTGAAAGAGCAAGGAGGCTAGAGATGGTAGCAAAAGCAGAAGCAAATATTCCTACCGGCCAGACCGGCTATGTCAACCATCAAGCAAGTTCGACGGGAATAAAATGAACACACATGAAATGTTACGAAGAAATTCAAGTGAAGACTTCTAGGTTGGTTGGAAGTGGAGAGAAATGGAGTGTGGGTGGGGTGGGGGGAGGCGTGATGGCTTGGGTGGGTTGGGTGGTTGGTTGCAGCTGTGGGTGGAAGGGGGGGAGGCTGGTGGCGGCGGAGGGCGGAGGGGGAAGTGGTTGCGGAGAATCTCCGAGGAGAACTGTGAAATGCAGGAGCGAATCCCGAGGCTGCATCTCCTCGATGTTCCCGTGGCGCCTCGAGTTTTCCACCAGTGGTGGTGAGGCAAACCAGGGGGAGGCAACCAACCAACCAACCAACCAGCTTGCGCTTCCGCTAAGGGGGAATGTTCGCGTGGTTGGGCTTGCGCGCGGAAGAATGAGTGCTGTACACGATAGGTGGGCATTTCAAATGAAGCTGAGCCAATTGATTCAGCCGTCCGTTACCGGGGCGCGCATCAGGTGCGCTGTCGGCCAGGGACACCTGGCAGACCCTGCGGCGTGAGGTGGAACCTGAGGCCTGCTGACTAGGGTGGGTGGTGGTCATACCATACCAAATGGGCTGCCTGTACGGAAGAATATATTCGCGATATTACTTCGACATTTGAAAAAGCTGAGTGCACACTGGGTTGTTATCGGTATAAAGTGGACAAGCTGAGACCTTTTGTCACACGCCACCACACCTGATACCGAAGTCAGCAGAGGATCAATCAAAATAAAAATATAAGACTCAAGTGTAAAATAGTCCTGCAAAACAATTCAAGAAAATATTCACAAAAAAATAGTGCCATTTCTTCCGTGCTGTTTCTGCACACCCCTCTTTCCTTGCTGCTGCCAGCCTACTCCTGGCTATTGCCCCTGGCCAGGAGGAGATCCCAGGGACTCTTTTCCTGCCAAACCGCCTGAAAGGGCCCCTGGCATAACACCTGGAGGTGCATGGGAAGCTTTCGACATTGAAAGCATGTACATCCCGCTTCCTCCTGCTTGTGAAGAAAATATATAAAACCCCGCTCCCCTACCCCCTCTGACTACTGTAGACAGGCAGATTTCGATCACTATAATCACGATCCAGGTCACCTGCCACTGATCCTGTGGCTGAGCTGGCGCCCGACGCCCATTTCCGAGGCTTGCGATAGGCTGCTGCTGCCACGTTGGAAAATACAGCAGTGTAGCCCACACCACCATCACCCCCACTCTCATCCTCACTATACCCCAACGGACCAGGCATAGCTCCTCCGCCTTTTCTAAGCGTGGCCGCTGCTTGTGCTGCTACCACTGCTGCTGCCTCTTCAGCTGCAGGTCTCACATTCGAAAATGGCAGTGGAGGAACCACCGCCCCCGGACCCCCCATATGCCCACTCCCACCGCCCCGCTCACTCCCACCCCGGCTCCCAAACGCCCCTGCACGCGCCACCGCCCCTCTGTGTGAATGAGACGGGGAATGCCACCCTCTCGAGCCCGAATTCCCCGAAGAGTGCGTTGACGAGCTGTACCCAGACGCCCGCCCCTCGTCCTCATAATCCTCCTCCTCAATCACCCCGAAACCCTTAGCCGACCGGATCGAACCCGCCTCAGAACCACCTATCTGCGACCCTACTAAACCGTCGTGGTGTTTTCCGTGCCGGAGCCTTTCGGCTCGCTTGCTAGCAGCTAGGTTGGAAAATATCATGGTTATTCCTGCTCCTCCGGAACCTTCCTCTGTTGCAAGGGTTGACTCGAAGGGCAGAAGCGGTCCCGGGGGGTGGAATGCGGTTGCAGCTGCTAGAGCGGTTGCTGCTGCAGCGGCAGCAGCAGGAGATGTGGTAGCAGCCGCAGCAGCAGCCAGTGCGGGGGTTGCAGAGGGAGGAGCAGCAGTGGGAGGTGAGAGGAGACCTGGGTCGTTCTTGTGAGATTGATGCTTGGATCCCCATTTGAATGCATGAGCCAGCATGCCTCCCACTCCCTGCCGCTTCTTCTTTCCACCTGCCTCCTCTGCTCCAAACGCATCCACACCAGCAGCAACACCATCAGCAGCAGCAGCAGCAGCACCAGCACTAGCAGCAGCAGCACTAGAAGCTGCATCAGCATCAGCACTAGAAGCTGCATCAGCATCAGCACCAATATGATACCCGTGGCCTGCATCCCCGTCTATACTGGACCGTGTCGAGCTAGCGGTCAGCGACGCCCGTTCCAAAGCCTCCTCCAACGACTCGCACGGCAGGCCGAACGTGGTAACCATCCCGTAACCGTACTCGCCAACGCTCGACGCGTTACTGTTACCAACACTACTGCCCCACGTGCTGGTTGAAACAGAGGAGGCGCCATAGGGGCGGATAACAGAGCTGGAGGCGTTGGTGGTGGTGGTGGCAAGAGAGGCGTTAGAGGGAGGGATGGTGGTGCAGCTTTCAGTGGAAGAAGGGATCACTGTGCTGCTTCCCTTGGGATCGGGGCCTTTCGACGGGGTGAAGCTTGCAGGGGGGATACGATACTGCGGCCAGTTCCCACCAGGAGGGGCGATCCCAGGCGCAGGCTGCTTCTGAGGCGCCTCAGAAGTGCCTTTTGACTGGTTGAAGCTTGCTGGGGGGATCTGGTGCTGCACCCAGGTCCCAGCAGGAAGGGGGATTTCAGGTGGGGGGTTGAGAGGGCGGGGGATGGCAGGGTGGGGGATGGAGGTGTGAGGGATGGAAGGGTGAGGGATGGAGGGGTGAGGGATGGAGGGGTGAGGGATGGGAGGATGGGGGATGGCTGGATGCGGAGTGGCAGTAGCAGAAACACGAGCAGCACGAGCACCAGCAGCACCAGCCGCAACACCAGCACCACCAGCAGCACTAGCAGCCCGCGCAATAGCTTCATCCAAGCTCTCATCCGCCTTCCCCATTCCCCCCAGCTCCTCACGCATCCCCCTCACTGCCGCCCCCATGCCTGCATCATCCCCTCCCGCTGCTGCCCCCATGCCCGCGGATCCCACAATAGAAGCCCGCGCAATAGCCTTTTCCAAGCTCTCATCCGCCTTCCCCATCCCCCCTAACTCCTCACGCATCCCCCTCACTGCCGCCCCCATGCCTGCATCAACCCCTCCCGCTGCTGCCCCCATGCCCGCGGATCCCACAATAGAAGCCCGCGCAATAGCCTCTTCCAAGGTCTCATCCGCCTTCCCCATCCCCCCTAACTCCTCGCGCATCCCCCTCACTGCCGCCCCCATGCCCGCATCACCCCCTTTCACTGCCGCCCCCACGCCCGCATCACCCCCTTTCACTGCCGCCCCCATGCCCGCATCACCCCCTTTCACTGCCGCCCCCATGCCCGCATCCTCCCCCCGCCCTCCCCCCTGCACCCTTCTGGCGGACGGATAATCCCCGGGCGCGTTTGCAAGGGAGTAACCCGCATATTCACAAGGCGCAAGGGAATTCTCATGAGCAGTGGAGGCATAGGGCATACCTCCTCCGGATGCATACGGGTAGAGATTGCTGGCTCGAGCAGAAGCAGCATCAGCCACGCCAGCATCATTCCCACGCCCTGCTAACCCCATGCCCGCGAGGGAACTACCATGAGCAGAGGAGGCATAGGGCATACCTCCAGATGCATACGGTTTGCCTGCTCGGGCAGAAGCAGCATCAGCCACGCCAGCAGCGCGGCCAATGGCGTCGTCTAAGCTCTCTCCCCCCTTCCTCCCATCTGCAGATGCGTGGGGGCGACTTGCGGAAGCAGCGTCAGCCATACCAATTGCACAGGCAATGGCGTCTTCTAAGCTCTCTCCTGCCTTCCCCATGTTCGCCCGCTGCTCCCGCATCTCCTGCACTGCTGTATCCAACGATACCTCCCTCCTCCCAGCCCAACCCGCAGAACCAGCAGACCCAGCAGACCCAGCATAACCACCAGCAGAACCAGCAGAACCGCCAGCAGGAGCAGCAGACCTAGCAGGAGCAGCGGAAGCAGCACCAGCCATACCAATTGCGCAGGCAATGGCGTCTTCTAAGCTCTCTCCTGCCTTCCCCATGTTCGCCCGCTGCTCCCGCATCTCCTGCACTGCTGTATCCAATGATACCTCCCTCCTCCCAGCCCAACCCGCAGAACCAGCAGACCCAGCAGACCCAGCAGACCCAGCATAACCACCAGCAGAACCAGCAGAACCGCCAGCAGGAGCAGCAGACCTAGCAGGAGCAGCGGAAGCAGCACCAGCCATACCGATTGCGCAGGCAATGGCGTCTTCTAAGCTCTCTCCTGCCTTCCCCATGTTCGCACGCTGCTCCCGCATCTCCTGCACTGCCGTATCCAATGATACCTCCCTCCTCCCAGCCCAACCCGCAGAACCAGCAGAACCAGCAGGAGCAGCCACAGCAGGCGCAGCAGCAGGCGCGCGGGTACCCCCATCTGCCCCTCTCCCCCCCCCACACCCAGCTCCAGAAGCCTTCTCAGCACATGCGACGGTGGCAGCAGCAGCAGGGCGGGCAATAGCCTCATCCAGGGACTCTGTCGGTCGGCTGAGGTTAGAAAATTGCCGCGTCACGCCCGTACAGACAGCTCCCTGCGACCCTGCACCGGACGACCCCATAGAGCTCATTGTGCCTCCTAAGCTGAGAAGGCCAGAGTCCATGAATGAGTTGCCATCGTAGCGATAGTCGTCTGGGAACTCGGGGTCTGGGTCAAGATCGGCTGGTGCTCGTGCTGCGGCAACATCAGGCGCCCCAGAAGCAGGCACAGCAGAAGCAGCAGGCGCAGCAGGCGCAGCAGGCGCAGCAGGAGCAGCAGGCGCAGCAGGCGCGCGGGCCACCCCACCTGCGCCCCTTCCCCCCCCACACCCAGCCCCAGAAGCGTTCCCAGCACAGGTGGTGACAGCAGCAGCAGCAGCGCGAGCAATGGCCTCGTCCAGCGACTCTGTCGGTCGGCTGAGATTAGAAAATTGCCGCGTCACGCCCGTACAGACAGCTCCCTGCGACCCTGCATACCCTCCCCCAGACGCCCCCATGGAGCTCATCGTACCTCCTAAGCTGAGAAGGCCAGAGTCCATGAATGAGTTGCCATCGTAGCGGTAGTCGTCTGGGAACTGGGGGTCTGGGTCGAGATCGGCTAAGGCTGGGTTGAGCTGTGCGTATGCTGAGAGGGGTTCTGGGTTCGCGGGTTGCAGGTGGGGGGAGGGAGTGGCGGCGGCAGAATTGGCAGCGGCGCTACCTGCACCAGCAGCAGCACCAGCAGCGGCAGCAGCAGCAGCGCGGAGAATGGCGTCTTCAAGGCTCTCATCCGCCTGACCTAAGCTAGCCAGCTCCTCTTTCATCCGCCTCACGGCTGCATCCATGCGCGGGTCACCCGTACTGCCCCCACCCCCACTCCCCCCACCCCCACTGCCCCCACCCCCACCGCCCCCACCGCCCCCACCCCCACTGCCCCCACCCCCATTGTTCCCAGCCCCAAAGTCGCCGGCAGCAGCAGCAGCGCGGGCAATGGCGTCTTCCAGGCTCTCATCCGCCCGACCTAGGCCAGCCAGCTCCTCTTTCATCCGTCTCACGGCTGCATCCATGCGCGGGTCACTGCTCCCGCTCCCACTGCCCCCACCCCTACGCGAACCATCAGAAGCGTGAGAGGGAGCACCAGCCACAGCACTATCAGCACTGCCAGCAGCAGCAGCAGCGCGGGCAATGGCGTCGTCAAGGCTCTCATCCGCATGTCCTAACCCAGCCAGCTCCTCTTTCATCCGCCTCACGGCTGCATCCATGCGCGGGTCACCCCTACTGCCCCCAGCCCCACGCGAACCCTCAGAAGCGTGAGAGCGAGCACCAACAACGCCTTCAGGAGCACCAGCAGCACCACTACCGGCAGCAGCAGCAGCGCGGGCAATGGCGTCGTCAAGGCTCTCATCCGCCCGACCTAAGCCAGCCAGCTCCTCTTTCATCCGTCTCACGGCTGCATCCATGCGCGGGTCACTGCTCCCACCGCTACTTCCCCCAACCCCACTCCCCTCAGCCCCACGCGGACCCCCAGAAGCGTGCGAGCTAGCCCCATAAACAGTAGCGCCAGCAGCACCAGCAGCCCGCGCAATGGCATCGTCCAAGCTCTCATCCGCCTGCCCCATTCCCGCCAGCTCCTCGCGCATCCTTCTCACTGCTGCATCCATGAAATCGTCAGACTTGCCGGTGCCACGAGACGCTCCACTCGCGTGCGCGTTACCCGCAGGCGCGCGGGAATCCCCCGCGGATGGCGCGCAGGCGTCGCGCGCGGATGGCGCGCAAGAATTACCCGCGGAACCCGCGTTAGCAGCCCGCGCAATGGCTTCTTCCAGGCTCTCTTCCGCCTTCCCCATCGACGCGAGCTCGTCTCTCATACGCTGAATCGCAGCGTCCATAAACGCGTCATTCCTGCCTCCGCTAGAAGCTACCGTCTCGTCTGGCACGGAGCTGAGGCTCGTCTCCGAAGCTGCCTCCGTGGCTCGGGCGAGGGCGTCTTCCAGAGACATAGACGGCGTTGCCATAAGCGAAAAGTCCGAGGTATACCCGCCGCTTAAAGACTCCATATCCATTACCGAATTCCCGTCGTATCGGTAATCCTCGGGAAACTCGGGGTCAGGGTCGGGGTCGACTTGAGCAGAAGCTGACGGGGATGAGCGGGAAAAGGCGGGAACCATGGCCGCGAAAGGCCTGGCCAGGCGAGATCTTAAAGAGGTTCGTTGCGATGAGGAGGAGGCTTGAATGGGTGACGAGGCGTTTGGATGTTCTGCTGAGTTGGTCAAGGACTTGGTGCCAGACGATTTGCCGCCAGACGGGTTGTTGCCTGGACTGCTGCTGCGCCAGTTGCTGCTGTTAGGCTTGCTCGTGCTTTGTTTGCTGCTTCTCGGTTTGTTGCTGCTAGGATCGCCGGTACCAGTTCTTTCCTCAAATGCTGGCACTTCGATACGCGCTAACGCGTCTTCTAGCGAGTCCGTTGGCCTTCCGTAGCGGCCTTGTAGTTCCGCCGCCACGCCTTCGCGAGTATGGCCGGAAGAGGACATTGTAAGTCTTTAATTACTGTGATTAATAATTTACAAAGGAGGGCATTGAAATACTAGTACCACTCGTTTGATGAGCTCTAGTGAGTGACGATTCCTTTCGGTAAACAGGAATGGCTCCACCACTTTTTTGGAAAGCGAAAAAAATAGCCTGCACTGTCGTGACCGTGAAAATACTTCAGGTAAGTCTATCTTGAAACAACTACGGATGCTATGCTATGGCTCGACAAGAAAGTGCGGGACGCGTGCTTTCTGGCAACGAAGGAGCAACGCAGCTGACGCAACTCAGACAACCTAGTCAGATAGAAAAGGCTACTTCCCGTTTGACCTTAGTGACCGCGACATAATCTTGTGGAACTCTCTAGGGGTTGAGGCTGGTGCAAGGCGAAACGTCGAGCCTGATTGGTCCAGGACAATTCCAATGGTTCTTGGGACTAGCTGAAACCACTTTGATGACGAATCAAAGGATGACAAACCCAATGCCGAGGGGGACTAGGGGGAGAAGATCTGGATGTGGCGGGCGGAACGCGTGGAATCGATAGGGGGGAATGAGTGCGGGAGCGGGGGATTTGAAAATGGTGATCCGCGGGAACAGCGGGAATGTTCCCGCAGTGTGCCTGACCAGTGAAGAGGTGGCGGAGTTGGCTTGGGGTGGCGCGTCAACATCAGTTTTTTGCGAGGGATGAGGTTGCTTGCCCGTTTTGCCTGCCTCTCCACCAGCCACCACGGCACGGCCCCGAACCGAATCCCAAGAAGGGAAACCAGTCTCCGCAACAGCCGAAAGGATGGACGGAGTTCTGGGATTCGTTCAATTCGATCAGAACCGTAGGTACGGAACCAATTGCCCCCTTTCCCAACGTTTTCCCAAGCGTGTAGGCCAGCTTGCACGTCGCAACGCCAGGCGGTTGTTGCTGACGGGGGGGGGTCTCGGTGGCATGTTGGACTGTCGCTTGACAGCTGTGCAAGGGCCTGCGATGCCATGATGTCAAAGTGAGAAATCGTACAAGCCGCTTCGTTCGTTGGCGAAATGCGTTACAGCCAGCTAGCGATGTTGTTTGGTTCCGTGTCGGTGAACGCCGTCCTTGTGGCCGGGGCACGGAAAGTCAATGGAGTCTGGCCTGGGCTGCCCAAATTGAGAATGGCATGCCAAGTAGGTTTGGCATGTAACCCTTACAAAAGGGGAAAATATGCCACAACAATCATGTGACCCCGTAACGTCAATGGTAAAAATAAAAAGCGTACGGTAACTGTATCGAGTATCCTGACGGGCTTGGTAAGCGGGGTCACGGAATCAGTCACTAGCAACAGCTAAAGAATCACGCGAATGGTAACACATGAAACCCCCGCCAGAAATTCCTGAAACCAGGCCGATTTCCCGCTCGCGCCAACTCGTGCGGAGAGGTTTGATGCACGCTTGTACCGTCGAGCCTCCAACCCACCGTAACCACACCACGACCCGACGTGCTGTACACCCCCCTGCCCGCTACGGTTCCAACCAAGTACAGAACCTTGACCCCATCGCAGCTCTCCAACTTACTTCCCGCCATCAGCTATTCCTCACGCTATTACTAGTAGCTATAGCTTTCGCCAGCTGGCTTCCCGTTCACGCATCCAAGGCGTTCGTTAGCAGCACCTGACGTCTATCAACGGTGCGTGCCTTAGCCCTAAAGCCTTTCCCCATCCATTCACGTTTAGTCCCTTGTTACTCGAAAATTACTACTAATATGAATGAATAAAGTCGATCAGACCGCTGTCGCGATGCGCCCACAAACCGGCGCGCCGAACAGCGCATCGCCCGATGCATCGGGCCCGATCGTCGCGAGATGCATCGCGACGATCAGGAGCAGCCGCCGCCGCGATGCGCATTGCGGCCAGCTTCGGGCCGCAAAGCGCATCGCGCCGACCGGGCCGCCGCCGCCGCGATGCGCATTGTGTCCTGCTTTTGGCCGCTCCGTGCATCGCGCCGACCAGGCCGTCGCCGTCGCAATGCGCAATGCGGCCACCCTGCCGGGCGCATTGCGACGATCCGCCACCGTGATGCGCTAACCCGCCGCTCAGCGCGTCGCGCCTCTCTGGCCACCGCCGAGGCCAGGGTGCCCATGCACTCTCGTCTGCTAGCCTCCCCTCTCGTGCTCTCTTGTCTCCTACCCATCTTTCCTCACTCCCTCGCATGCCGTGTCATCCCCGGCCAAAGCCTCGATTACGTCAATTCCCTCTCTCGTGCCAGGCTTTTCTTTTATGCTATCTCGTGCTTGACTGCTCTCTAGTCCCCTCTAGTTACGTTGAGTCTCCTCTCCATCCCTCTCGCACACCCCCTCTCATACACACGCATCCCCTCTCCATCCCTCTCGCTCACCCCCTCTCGTACACACTCATCCCCTCTCATCCCCTCACACACACTCCCGTTCCCTCTCATCCCCTCTCATTCACTCTCATTCCCTCTCATTCCCTCTCATTCCCTCTCTTTCCCTCTCATCCCTTCTCATCCCCTCTCATTCACTCTCATACACTCATACACTCTCATCCCTTCTCATCCCCTCTCATTCACTCTCATACACTCTCAACCACTCTCATCCACTCTCCTAAACTCTCATACTCTCTCATCATTCCTTATCATACACTCTCATTCACTCTCATCCCCTCTCATCCTCTCTCATCCCATGTCATTCCCTCTCATACACTCTCATACCCTCTCGTACCCACTCATATACACTCATATACACTCTCATCCCCTCTTATACACTCCCATATACTCTCATTCACTCTCATACGCTCTCATCCCCTCTCATCCCATGTCATTCCCTCTCATACACTCTCATACCCTCTCGTACCCACTCTCATATACACTCATATACACTCTCATCCCCTCTTATACACTCCCATACACACTCATACACTCTCATACACTCTCATTCACACTCATCCCCTCTAATCCCCTCACATCCCCTCTCATCCCCTCTCATCCCATCTCATCCCCTCTCATACACTCTCACACACTCTCATACACTCTCTTACACACTCTCATCACTCCTCATCCACTCGCATACACTCTCAACCCCTCTCATCCTCTCTTATACACTCACATACACCCTTATTCACTCTCATCCCCTCTCATCCACTGTCTGATACACTCTCATCCCCTCTCATACAAACTCATACCCCCTAATCCGCTCTCATCCACTCTCATACACTTCCATACACTCTCATTCACACTCATCCCCTCTTATCCCCTCACATCCCCTCTCATACACTCTCATCCCCTCTCATACACACTCATCCCCTCTCATACACTCTTATACACTCTTGTACACTCTCATACCCTCCCATCCACTATCATATACACTATCATCCCATCATACTCTCCCGTACACACTCATACACTCTCATCCCTTCTCATATACTCTCATACACTCTCATCCCCTCTCATACACTCTCATACACTCTCAACCACTCTCATTCAATCTCCTACACTCACTCTCATACACTCCCATCCCCTCATACACACCCATTCACTCTCATACACACTCATTTCCTATCATCCGTTCTCATCCTATCTCACACACTCTCATCCCCTCTCATATACTCTCATCCCCTCTCATATACTCTCATCCCCTCTCATCCCTTCACATCCCCTCTCGTTCACTCTCATACACTCTCATACACTCTCATCCCCTCACATACACTCTCATACACTCTCAACCACTCTCATCCACTCTCCTAAACTCTCATACACTCTCATCATCCCTTATCATACACTCTCATTCACTCTCATCCCCTCTCATCCCCTCTCATCCCATCTCATTCCCTCTCATACACTCTCATACACTCTCGTACCCACTCATACCCACTAATACACTATCATATACACTCTCATCCCCTCTTATACACTCCCATACACACTCATACACTCTCATACACTCCCTTTCACTCTCGTGCACTCTCATCCCTGGTCATCCCCTATCATCCCCTCTCATCCCCTCTCATCCCCTATCATCCCATCTCATACACTCTCACACACTCTCATACACTCTCTTATACACTCTCAACCCTCCTCATCCACTCTCATACACTCTCAACTCCTCTCATCCTCTCTCATGCACTATCAGACACTCTTAAACACTCTCATCCCCTCTCATACACACTCATACCCCCTAATCCGCTCTCATCCACTCCCATACACTTCCATACACTCTCATTCACTCTCATCCCCTCTCATCCCCTCTCATCCCATCTCATTCCCTCTCATATACTCTCATACCCTCTTGTACCCACTCATATACACTCATATACACTCTCATCCCCTCTTATACACTCCCATACACACTCATACACACTCATACGCTCTCATCCCCTCTCATACCATGTCATTCCCTCTCATACACTCTCATACCCTCTCGTACCCACTCATACCCACTCATACACTATCATATACACTCTCATCCCCTCCTATACACTCCCATACACACTCATACACTCTCATACACTCCCTTTCACTCTCGTGCACTCTCATCCCTGGTCATCCCCTCTCATCCCCTCTCATCCCCTCTCATCCCCTATCATCCCATCTCATACACTCTCACACACTCTCATACTCTCTCTTACACACTCTCAACCCTCCTCATCCACTCTCATACACTCTC